TTAAACTCCTGGCAAGTGCAGAGGCCTATTTTACACAATTTAACTTGGTGTTTCTTGACTTTATTTTACTTTAGACTTATAGATCCTCTCCCTCTTTATTTATTTTTGTCTTTTTGAGACAGGATCTCACTATGCAGTTCAGGCTGGCCTTGAGCTCACTTTATAGTCTAGGCTGGTCTCGAACTTGCAACGGTCCTCCTCCTCAGTCTCCCAAATGCTGGGATTACAGGTGTGAGCTACCACGCCTGGCTTTCCTTCTTTACTTTTTTATTCATCACAATTTTGAGAAATGACTGGTTTGAAAAAGTAATGATCTTAAGGGCAATTCGTTAAAAAAAATTTCTAGAAGAGAGAACTTGGATATTTTACAACCAATCCTTTAAAATGTAAAGATGGTAATAAAATTTCTTCTATGTGTTTATGCTCATTCATGAATAGTTAAGAGAACAGTCATTTTATGAACAACTATTTTGAAGAAAACAAGAGAGTTTATGGTAAGCCATTGTTGATTTCCTGCTGTCTCTTTCTGAAATCCTGTTATTTGCATTGTTTTACTCTGCTCTGCTCTGCTTTGTTTTATTCTTCTTAAAATAAAAAAATAAAAAAGAACAATTATTTTGTGGCAGAACTTGCTCAGGAGTTGTAACTAAGCAAACAATTATAATCAGTTGTGTATAATCATCAGGGAAATACTTAACAACAAATATCCTTCCGATTCACAGATTGATCTCAAATGCTTTGGTCTTGGTTTGTTTCTAAATTAATTTAGAAAGCCAAAGAAGGTTGTTTTTGAAGAGTCCACTCGTTTTATACTTTTCAGTCTGATTTCTCTCAGGAGCTTAAAATATTTTCCATTCTGTTTCTATGCATCCTCAGGTCAAAATCTCTGTTTGTGAGCCAGATATGATGGTGCATATCTGTAATTCTAGCACTTGGGAGAGTCTAGGTGATGGTTTTTGGATTTTTTCCACCTCATTGCTCCCATGGTTTGCCTTTGGTGAGCTAGAAGTCTGAGGTTGCATCTTTCTTAAGTGTCCTCTCATTTTTTTTTCTTTTTTTAGTTTATCTCCTGGGTTGATGCTTATAAATTGCTTGTAGCAAGTAGCTTCATTGGTAGTATTTAGAATCCTTAAGAAATGACTACTTTTCAGAAGTGTCTTCCAGATATAGCTGGCTTTTGGTTTTGAGTCTATCGCAAGATCTTACCTCTTCAATTTATTGGGAATGAGATGTTGCTGCCTACTTGGCCCAGTCCCCGTTTCTCTTTTTTGTCTTTTTCCTTTTTATCGGTACCAGGGATCGAACTCACGACTGCCTGCTTGCAAGGCAGGCGCTTATGCCGCTGAGCTAAATCCCCAGCCCCAAATTACATTTCTAGTATAATTTATGCATGTGTACTAATCTCCCATGAAGAATGTAATCATATACAGCAAACATGTACTGATAAAAATAATAATTAAAAAATAATGGACGTTTTAAACACATCACTACCAGGTCCCAGTTTATTGTTAATTCTTACTTGTTTTGCATTAACATCATCAGAACACAAGATCTGAATACTGTTTTATAACCTTTGAGGACTCATATGTGTAAAACATTTGATTTAAATTTTATAGGTGATTGATCCAAATAAACTTTAACTTCTAGATCATGTATTTCCAATCATCTTCACAGCATAACTGACACTGATATTCATCCACTTAAGAATCATAACAAATAAATTTATACATAAAATATTGTAGAGGATGAAAGACTTTTGTAATTCATGCTCTTAAGCAGAATAATCAGATTCTTCAAAAACCTTGTCATAAAGTTCTTCCTGTTGAATAACATGATGAGAATAATATCATATTTCCTATTTTACTTTGAAGAATTCATTTTTCATTATTGGTTTTGAGTTTTGGAAATTCATCTAGAATATGATCACTAAAGACCCGTGGATTTCATGCTTATCATTGGGATCAAGAATGCTGCCCTCTGCCTTGTTGCATTGATCTTTTGAATTCTGAATTCTTAACTAGGTGTAATGAAAGGTCAAAGTATGATGCAGTGAAAGCTGCTTAGTACTTTGCATAAAGAAAACTAAAGGTTGGAGACATACACGTGTTCCTAGTCTCTTACCACATGATGTCCCTGCCAGCAAGGTCATCACCTGATGTGGCCTCTTGACCTTTCACTTTCTATACCCATTCGCCAAAATGAAGCTTACTTTTTCTCTTTCTTTCTTTCTTTCTTTCTTTCTTTCTTTCTTTCTTTCTTTCTTTCTTTCTTTTCTTCTCTCTCTCTCTCTCTCTCTTTGTGTAAAGGTCTTGCTCTGTAGTTCAGGCTGAACGTGAAGTCATCCTGCCTTAGTCTCTTGAGTGCTGGCATTACATCACATTCAGCTTCAACAAATCTTTATAAATATGACTGACCTTTAAAAAAGAGATGAAGAGGTTGGGGATTTAGTTCAAAGGCATAAGAGCCTGCCTTGCAAGCACGCAGTCACAAGTTCAATTCCTGGTACTGGAAAAAAAAAAAAAAAAGGGCCAGGGATTTAGCTCAGTGGCATAAGTACCTGCCTGGCAAGAGTGAGGTTGAGTTCAATCTCTGGTGCAAAAAAAAAAGAAGGACATGCAGAAAGAAGAATGTGCTTCCAAAGAATGACACCTTTGTACCCTCCTCTACTATTAGCAAGGTATCTTTTTCCTTTGGAGAATATAGTAAATCAGCCTCATGTTACCCTAAAAACAAGGAACTGAAGGATGGTACAATGTGACTCATTTCACTGTTGTATCATTTTAGGTAACCCCATTCTTTTTCTTAATATTTTACCTATTTACGCTCTAAAGGCCTCATCTCTTCTTTCCTTTTTTCTTCAATGCACGTTAAGTAAGCATTCTACCTATTATGGTTTGTATTTGGATGCTCCCCTGCAAGCCTCATGCAATCATAGATGTGGCTGAATCTAGTGTTTGTGATTGGTTTGTTGTTTAGCATTGGGATTGGTGATAAGGAGTGCTGAACCCACCCAGGGGTGGAGCCAATATACCGTCTAAGGGTGGGAAGAAGATGTGTGTTTCCTCTTTTGCTTTGCTCACTCTTGCTGTTTGTGAATGGCTTCCCCGGCATGCCATCCTGCTTTAGAGCCAGCTGAGTACAGACTGAAACCTCTAAATTGTAAGAAATAAATCTTCCCTTGCTTCACTTTGGGCGTCAGGTATTTTGTCTCAACAATGAGAGAAAAGTAATCAAGACATTACCATTGGGCTATACCCCAGCCCCAGCTCCAGCTGCTTTACACCAACTTGTTGTGGGTTAGAATTTCATCATATAAATTCTTGGAAACCACAAATATTCAGACCAGAGCAATGTAGATAAGGGGACCCTAGACAGAAAGCTTGCTCCTTCTACCCTCCAAGGACACAGATAGAAGGTCTTCAGACATTTAAATATTTGACATCTTGCTCCTGCAGGACTATGGGAAGTAAATTTTTGTTATGCATAAGTTACCCTGTTTATTTTGTTATAGAATTCTGAATAGACTAAGACACATGCCTGTTTACCCTACCTCTCCTCTTCCTACCCTCCCTCTTCTTCTCTTTGTCTTGTGTTCTCCTCCTCCTCCTTTCTTTCCTCCTTCTTCTCTTCCTCCTCTTCCTCTTCTCCTTTGTCTCTCTCCTTCTCTTTGTCTTTCTCCTTCTTTTTAGGAATGTCCTTATTCTACCTTTAAAACATTGCCAATTGCTGTTTAAATGTAGTCCAGTCCTCCTTAAGGCAACTCCCTGCACCTATTTGTTTTGCAGGACTGCACTCACTAAATTTTTGTTTCTGATTTTAATTCGTTCTTTAAGGTTTTAAATTTGACAAGCAAACTCTTACTCTTCCATGTCCATAAAATAATGCTGGGATAACTTTTGTAGGATTTGAGGTATGATAATACCTGGAATTAATCCTGTGAGCAGCTTCTCACTGAAAGATGAAATATTGCCAAGACCATGAAATTGAGTGCTTTTCTAATCTGTTGAGACCATGAAACTGATTGTTTTTTCAATCTGTTAAAGTCCCATTTTCCTTCGATCTTTTCTTGGAAAGAGAAGCAGCAAACTTACAACCAGAATTATCAGTGAAAGGTTATATTTTTTTGTGTGGAGGATGAGAGGGAGGTGACAATGGGGTGGCAGAGGTGGTGGGGGAAAGAGAGATTATTTTATAACTTCTTCTTGCCAGCTGAGCCTTAGGTTTATTTGGCTTGTATCATGTTACTAGCATCTCAAACTGCTCTCTGGTACAGCAGGTGTTCTGTAAATATTTCTTGCGTTGAAGAAAGCAGTAACTTCTATGTTTTTTCCAGATATGTAGTCTGTGGTTTTAGGACTCAGCCAGGGCCTACTTGTTCTAGAGGACGCCTCCATTTCTCTCTGCAATGTAAAGGATTGAATTTGGGACCTTTGTACTTAGATACCTCTCCAGTACTTTTAAAATGTATTTTGAGACAGAGTCTCGCCAAGTCGCTAAACTGTGTAGGCTGGGCTCCTGCTTCAGCCTCCCAGTGTCCTGGGATCCCGGCGCATGGCTCTGGGCATCTCAGCACAGCTGCACAAGTTTTGCACAAGTCTTGCGGGCCAGCTGCGACCGCCTCGCCGCCCCGCCACGGAGGTTCATTTGTTCCATCCCTTTGGGCTCAGTGGTGGTCTCCAGTCCCCTTCTTTCCATCTAGTTCCCACGGCCGCTCCCCCGTCTCATACTTTAATTTTAAAACCTGTCACTAGCTCCCCTAACCCTACGCCCTCGCGTCTCGCGGCCCCGCCCCCTTCTTCTCCGAGGCCCCGCCCCATCACCCTGGTACGTCACTCTTCTCCGTGGCCCCGCCTCTGTCCCCCTGTCCGCCCCTCCCCTCCTCCAGGTCCCGCCCATCTCCTTCCCGAGGTCCCGCCCTGTCTCTCGGCTGTGTCACTCTTCTCCGTGGCCCCGCCCCTGACCTCCCCTCAGCCCCGCCCTTTGTCTCCACAGCACCGCCCCTCGCCTCCCTTTGACGTGGCAGAGGCCGCACCAGCCCAGTCTGCCTGGCCGAAGTCCTCGCCGAGGCCGGGGGGCGGGGCGGCGCGGGCCCGGATTGCACTGCCACGGCTGCTCCAGCTCGGCGGAGAGGACGGACTTCGGCCGGCGGAGGCTGAGACCGGCGCGGGTCTTGCAGGAGGGCCTCTGGTAAGGGCCGACTTCCCGGCCGCCTGTTCACCGCTGCCCCGTGCCGCGGCGCCCAACGGGAAGACCGGGCGGGCGGCGGCGGCGGCCTGCGGGCCGGAGCGCGGTGGTCCTGGGTCTGCTCTGCCGGCGGAGGAGGGACAAGGACGGCTCGGAGCTCGTCAACCCGCCTCGCCCGCCGTCTGTTGGCCGGCCGGGCGCCCATGTTTGTCCCCTGCTCCGGCTGGAAAGTGGCAGCCGGCGCGGCGGGCCCAGCGCCCACCGCCTCCCGGAGACGCAGCCTCCGGCCCGGCCCGGCCCGGCCCGCCCGTCCCCGCGCGCTGGGCGCCGGCTCTGCTCGCTTCACTCCTTGCCCCAGCTCCCAGACTTTGAACCGCGCTGACTTCGTCGCCGTCGTTCGGCCTTGGGAGTTAAAGAGGTGAAGGGGAAAGTGCCAGGTACAGCGAATGCCTTGGCCTTGGGTACTGATCCAGTTCGGTTTTCAGACCGGACCAGCCCTGTAGCATTGGGCTCCCGTTGTGCTAGTAGAGCTTTCTCCCTTCTTGGGAAAGGAAAGGGAACAGAAGTTATGGTGAATCCACATGTATCCCTGGAAATGAGAGGGTGAACTCACGTTCTCATGTGAGCCTCCTTAACCTCTACCCCACAAAAGCCACAGGTAATTAGCCCAGTTCATTTCAAAACGTTTTCGATTTAAATATAAGTGCAAGTTAAAACTGTCTTTCCCCTCCAGTAATATAATTGCCATCATTTCAGCAAACCATCTACTTGAAGTTGACAGGAATGTTAGAGAGTTAGATGGGACCTTGTGGTTTTTTAGGCCAAATTCTTCATTTTACTGATGAGAAAAATGAGGATTAGGGAGAGGAGACTGTTTTTCCAAATCACAAAGCTGCCCATTAGTCTACCGCATTGAGGAAAGTACAACCCAGTAGGAGAGGCACACTTAACTGTCTAGCAACAAATACATGTGATTGGAAAGAATTCCACAAAATCACAAAATTTCTTGCAATTTTGTATGTTTTTCAGTTAAGTATGTATAAGAGGGCTAAAATTAGAATAGTGAAAAACTCTTTTAGGGAATTCCTTTTAAAATACTCTAAGCAAGTGTTTTGAAATGGATTTTATTAAAATTTCAGTACAATTTAAGTTGTACTGAAAACGGAGCATTTCTTTTTATGTTTTGTATCACCTTTTTAAAAAAAGGATCAACTTGTTAAGTGTACATTCTAATATAGCGTGAATATTTATTTGGATTTATGTTTTTACATAATCATGTTATTTTTAGGGGATAGAGTGCTTGTCAGATAATGACATTTTATGTAAAGTTAGTTTTTTTTTTTTTTTTTTTTGTACCAGGGATTGAACTTACAACCTTGTGTTTGCCAGGAAGGCACCTGCCCCACTGAGCTAAATACCAGGCCCTGTCAAGCTAGTTTACAGAAGGACTTTTGGACTTGAATTAGTGATTTTGATTGTGCAATTCCTACTTTTGAAAGGTGAGGGAAGTCAAGGGATGTGGATGACTATGTAATTGGACCAGTAAAGAAAAGAAAAAATAAAAGGGCTGGGTCTTTCATCAGATTGTTGCTGGGAACTGAGATTGTAAGGAACATAATGCATGTGATTTACTAAGCAAATAGGATATGATATTAGAGCAGAATGATTGAGGGAAAAAAATATGAAGAAGAGAACTGTACTCTAATATCACTCAGTGACACTGGCTTAATAAAAAGTAAGAATGTGGAATTGTAATCCAGCCTGCTATTTGTTGTAGAAACTTAAATCACACTGTTGACTGCATATCAATATCTTCCTACTCAGAATCCTACAGTGAGTTTCCCTAGTCATCTTAACGCTGGTTCACAGGATCCCTTTATACTCTTCAATATTACATATTTGAGGATGTAAGGGAAAAAAGCATTTTAATAGAAGATAGGTTTTCATGACTACTTTTGTAGTCTATTGAAATATGCTGTATGAAGGAAATTTGACTTTTTACAGATACATAGTTGGAAAAAGAAGAGCCTTGCGTTTGCCAGGCAGGCACTTATGCCACTGAGCTAAATCCCCAGCCCCGAGAATAGATTTTAAAATAGTTTTTTCGGATAATTATGCATATTCTTGTTTGATATCATACTGAATTCCATTAGTTTTATTAAAGAAATTAAAGATTAATTCCAATGTGGAATCTGTAATGTTTCTCTTTTTTTTTTTGTCTTTTCAAGACAGGGTTTCACTATACAGTTCATGCTGGCCTTGCACTCACTTTGTAGTCCAGGCTGGCCTCAAACTCACAGTGATCTTCCTGTCTCAGCCTCTTGAGTGCTAGGATTACAGGCATGTGCCACTACACCTGGGTAGAAGTGAATTTTTTGAACTCATATTAAAACCCATTGATTGTGCTCCACTTTGAATGGTTCAAATATATGATATTGTAGGATTGTAAATTGACCGTTTGGGAGATACTACTTCACGGAGTACTGTGTGTCTTCCTAATGCTCAAGTTTCAATATTCAATGTCAAAAAAACCACATTAATTCAATCACTGCTCTAATCACAAAAATCTGTACATATTAGGAAGGTATTAAGCTCATGGTATGGATACAAGTAAAAGCTATAAATGTTTGCTTGCAAGCTCAAATTTTATTTCTGGCAACAAATGGAAACTGTTTGGTAAAACTAGATTTTTTTCCTCTCTGAAGGAGGTTGTTGTTATTGATACTGAACACTGAACCCAGGACCTTCATACTGGTTACATCCTCAGTTTTTTTTTTTTTTTTTGGAGACAGGGTCTCACTAAGTGCCCAAGTCAACCTCCAACTTGGAGTTCTCCTAACTTAGTGTCCCCTGTAGCTGGGACCAGATCTCTGTTTTATCATTGTCGTTCAACAGTCACATAAAAAAAAAAACCTCACACTCCCGTATTTATACTATAGTCTTATCTGAGAATTTTCCTCTATCCATTATATATTTGTGAAATATACACACTCATGTGATTAATGTAATATTCTGTAGTTGTTGTCAAGATCCTGGCATGAGAGAAATAAACCAATTTTTCTTTAATGTTTTTTGTATTTCTTTTAAAGAAAATAAAATAATGTAAAGTTCTTAGCTACTTAAAATGCTTAGATTGTTAAGCTTCTTTTACTATAATTTGCATTATCAAAGTCTGTTTAAAAGATTTTTAAAATTAAAATTGTTTTATTTAAATTTTTTGAAACTCTTTTCTTTCTTTCCTTTTCTGAGACAGCATCCTGCTTTGTAGTATAGGTTGGCCTTGAACTCACCAGGTAGCCCAGGCTGGCTTTGAATTCATGGTGTTCCTCCTGCCTCAGCCTCCTGAATGCTGGGATTAGACTGCACCATGTCTGGCTCCTTAGTTTCTTGTCTCACTTTGTTTTTCAAGTTTAATATCCATAAAGGTTTTTCTGACCCCTGAGGTTCATAATTCTTCGGTTCTTCTAACTTGGTGCCCTTCATTGCTGCTGCATAGCACGTGAAATCTTTATTCTCCTATATTTTGGGGTTTTTCAGCCTCCTTCCATGATTGCCCTTGTTGTAGTCTGGGGCGAGAAGACAGAAAGGTACTTAGGTGGCAAAACAGACATCATAGAGAGCTGTCCTTTGCTGGTAGACCCTTCCCAGAGTGGCCCTCTCTTTGTCTGATGGTAAATTTAAATTACTATATTGAATAATATATCTCCACTTAAGAGTTTAAAATACTCCCCTTAAGTTAGAATGTAAACATTTTCCTGTATTTCTGCAGAAGAGGTTATATGATAGGTACAGCACAGGGAATACCATGTAATAAGCATGTTGTTTATTGTGTCCCAAACATCCTACATTTGCACAGTAAAAAATTGTTTGTCATATATATATATACATATATATATCAAGTTTTTGTTATGTGCCACTAAATAGTTTCTTATAGAAAGTTTATGGGAACTTACCATTTTTGGATAGAAACCATGTAAATTTTGGAATTTTATGATTTTGATATCTGTTTTGAAAGAATGTAGCTTACAAAACTGATATTGAAAGCATAAAATCTAGGTTTGTGTTGGTATGCTGATGCATTCCTGAAATTCCAGCACTGGAGAAGCTGAGGCAGGAGTGTAACTGTGAATTTGAGGCCATCCTGGGCTACATAGTGTTTTGAGACAAGTAAGACCCTTGTCACAAAAAACCTATTAAAAAACAGAGACTTAGATTTTACCACTTCTGCCCACTTTTTTCCCTATATGCTTTTAAGTAAAATACATACGAACATTTGCTATTTTTTTGCCATACTTTGAAAAAGTAAATAAAGAAACTAAAATACCTCTCATTTGGTCTAATAAGCATTTTGGCAAATGAGCTATTACTTAATTCATTATAAGTAGAGTTATGGTTGCTTGCTATTTGCTTTCTGAGAAAATATTTTGAGTTGATCATGATTTATAATGTGTTAGCATTATTGACTTTGGGAAAACTTAATTTAAATCTTGAGAGGATGCTGGATTTTAAAATGTCTTCTGATTTTGTTGTAGAAGTAAGAATCAAGCTCTACAATGACAACCTATTTGGAATTCATTCAACAAAATGAAGAACGAGATGGCGTCCGGTTTAGTTGGAATGTTTGGCCCTCAAGTCGATTGGAAGCCACCAGAATGGTTGTTCCAGTGGCAGCCCTGTTCACACCACTAAAAGAGAGACCTGATTTACCTCCCATTCAATATGAACCTGTTCTGTGCAGTAGGACGACCTGCCGTGCAGTTTTGAATCCATTATGGTAATTAGCATACCGGGACAAAACTCAAGGGGTGAACCGGTTCAAAAATGTAGTTTCTTCCTTGCTTATTCATATAGAGATGCTTTGGTTTTGTTCAAGTTTATTTTTCGAATTAAAATAGTAAAAAAAAAAAAAATCCAAAGATCTCTAAAGTTTTAGGATCATCCAAGTTGTGAGCTATAATACAAAACTGAATATAAAAGTCACCATAAAGGGCACTAGATTCTATCAGTGTTTTTCGGGTACCGGTGCTAGTTGTATATCAACCCATCTTTGGTCATTAGTAGTTATAGTTAAGAGGCAATGGGGTTTGAAAAAAAATGTTAAGATTTCCTATAGATTAAACTAAAATTTTAGGAGTTATTTTTATTCCTCCTTCTCTCCCTCTCCCTGATTCAGTAGCAAAGTGAATTAGGCCTCAAGAACTTTATAGGTTCTCTGTGTTATATTCCATCTCTGCTTGTATAGCCTACTTGTAAATACCACTGTGTTTTTCTTGGGTAGTATCACTATTTTTCTAACTGGATTCCTATTTTCATTTTTGCCTTTCAGCAGTCTATTCTTTACTTAGAAGCCATACTTTTATCAGATTATTAAAATTTTGTACTTGCATTTTATACTTGCAATGAAAAATCCACACCCCTTATCGAGACTTATAAAGCCCCATGAAATCCAGCCTCTGTATATATTTCTGCCTTTGTCTTGTGTAACCTGTCTTCCTTATTTTCATCTACATAATACCTTTTCCTCTTTTTGATCCTTGAAGATACCAGCCTATTCCTACCTTGGAGCTTGTGCAGGAGGTATGCATTCTTCCTGGATTGCTCTGCCTTGAGATTTTCCTACGACTGGTTCCTTTTCATGCAAGTCATACTTCATTTCTCTACCAAGATGGCTTTTCTTCAAAGTAGCTGTCCATACACAGTCTCACATCCTTTGTTTTCTTTAATCTTTATTATTAAAAGTGTTTCCTGTGTGTACACATCTGCCTGTATTTTCTAAAATGTAAACTTTATGAAAGCAGGGACTTTTTCTCTCTTGTTTACTGCTGTATCACCAACATCTAAAATTTTTTTTTTTGAGACAACATCTTGTCATGTTGTTCATGGTGGTCTCAAACTCCTGGATTGACATGATGCTCCTGCCAGACCTCTAGAGTAGTTGGGATTGTAGACATGCCCCTCTTACCCAGTTCAGATACATTTTTGCACTGAATAAATGTGTTCTAGGTCTGTATGTAGATGTTGCTAAAGTCATGTGAAGAAACACCTATAATTTCCTCAATTTTACTGTTAATTTTGGTATATATTGTTTTGTATTCACTGTTGAGGTGAATTTGTATATGTTAAACGTATGAATTAGATATTGGTAAAACCAAAAAATACATTAACTTTAGAAGATCACTTTGACTATCAGTTTGTGTTCATATATATATATTTCTTGCATTTTTAAAATTGTGTTCACATTTTAGAAGATAATTTTATTGAAATTATGATCCTTATGAGATTGAATTGAAACATAAACTACTTCATTTTGTCTTACAGTCAAGTGGATTACCGAGCAAAACTGTGGGCTTGCAACTTCTGTTATCAAAGGAATCAGGTAACTATCTCCTCCTCCAGTGCAAATGTTAATACTATAATATTAGTCATACAGAAAGATACATATTAAAAATAAAGATAAAATAATTAACATTCATGCAGTAAAATTATCTTTCTTAATACTTTGACAATCTAGAAGTAATTATTTTCAGTTTAAAAACTTATTGCTTAGCCCGGTATGGTGGCTCACACCTGTAATCCCAGAATTTGGGAGGCTGAGGCAGGAGGATCGTTGTGAGTTCAAGGCCAGCCTAAGCTACAAAGTGAGCTCAAGGCCAGCCTGAACTGCATAGCGAGACCCCGTCTCGAAAAGACCACCAACAACAACAACAACAACAAACTTATTGCTTGCCGAGGATTTAATGCAGTGGTGCAGTACTGCCTGGCAAGTGTGAGGCCCTGAGTTCAATTGTCAGTTGCGCTTTTTGGCAAATGAATTTTTTAAAAATTTTTATGTTTTTCTTTCTGTAGTTTCCACCTACTTATGCTGGGATATCTGAACTGAATCAACCTGCTGAACTTTTACCTCAGTTTTCTAGCATTGAATATGTAGTTCTGGTAAGCACAAAAGAGCAAATATTTAAGAAAGTTAAATATTTAGTCAGTGGTTTACACTAAAATATTTGTTAAATTGAGGTGAATTAATAGGGGTCATCACACATTGAACTGATGGAACCTTTCAAAGGGAAGAACTATTAGGCCAGTTTGAGTAGGTAATTTCTTTGTTGTAGTTATTTGATGTTAGCCAGATATTGGATAGGGTGGTGTGATTTCTACAATGAGTAGATTGATAAGTGTTAAAGTATCAATCTTGTTTTGTAGTTGGAAAGTCTGGTCACAGGTACCCAATAAGGTTTTAGAATCTGCTATGTATCCTCAGGTCTAATTAATGAAAATATTTCCCACTATATGATTTGGGAAAATTGTTTTCTTCCCTCTCTGAGCAACTGCACACAGAGTTGTTTATATATCTAAGTGTGAAAATATTAACATTCTTCACAAATGTCATGGAGAAAATAGAGTTGTGATTCACGTGAACCAGAAACCATCCTAGCTAGTTTCTGAAGTCTCTAAAAATCCAATTCAAATTTAGAAAATTATATAAAATTATTTTACTTTGTTTTTACACTTTGTGATTGCCATCTTTTTTTGTATTTTTGAGCTAGGAGTTTGCTGTGGAGGTCAGGGTGGCCTTGAATTCACTGTGTAGCCTAGGCTGGCCTTGAACTCACAGTGATCCTCGTGCCTCAGCCTCCTGAGTGCTGAAATTACAGGAATGCACGATCACACCTGGCACTTGTACATCACGCTTTTAAATCTAATTTTTTTTATGTTAAATATCTCTCCATGATAGTACATATAACCCATTTCATTTTTAAAAACTTGTTCATTTTAAAGGGACTAAAGCAAGACAACAAAATGGAACAAAACTAAGCAGTGAAAACAATATTGGATTTCAGAAACAAGACAGAAGGAAATCCCCATAGTTGCTAGGTTGCTTATTGTTATTCTATAAATAGATGCTCAGACCTCTGGCTTTAGGCCTGCAAAGTCAATCAAACAATTCAAATGTTAAGTTGCTTTTTTTGCATTACTTGCTATCATCCCAGTCTGTGTTCCTCTGAGTAACCTATTTCGTTTCTGAATTTTGTCTTATACATGTATTAGGATTCTATTGTATGTATTGTTCAATTAGTCTCTGACTTTTAAGTATTATGCTAAAGTGTTAGTACCTTAAAAAAAACCCTTATTTTCTTACTGCAAATTTTTTTTTTTTAAGCGTGGTCCTCAGTTGCCTTTGATATTCCTCTATGTGGTTGATACTTGCATGGAAGATGAGGACTTACAAGCCCTGAAGGAGTCCATGCAGATGTCATTAAGTCTCTTACCACCTACGGCTTTGGTTGGACTTATTACTTTTGGGAGAATGGTGCAGGTTCATGAACTTGGATGCGAAGGCATTTCAAAAAGTTACGTCTTCAGAGGAACAAAAGATCTGTCTGCCAAACAACTGCAGGTAAATACTTAGTTTTTTTACCTGTGAACATCACCTTTATGTTCATAAATGCCTTCTAGATGCGTATTTCTAGAAAATAGAAAAGTTATGAATGATATATTGTAACAAAAGTTTTTAATTTATTGTTGACCTTTGTTTCCTTTTGTGTGCCTTGAATTCATACATAAGATTGAAGACCAGTACTTTTAACTGTATTTTTAAAATTTAAAGTGAAACTAAGTTGGATGTGTTGGCTCACACCTATAATAATCCCAGCACTCGGGAGGCTGAGGCAGGAGAATCGTTGCAAGTTCGAGACCAGCCTAGGATACACAGTGAGCTCAAGGCCAGCCTGAACTGCATAGCAAGACCCTATCTCAAAAAGACAAAGAAAAAAAATTTTTTTTACTGGACCTTGGAGGGCTTACAGAAGTCATGCTGAAGGCCAAGATAGAGCACCCATGCAGTATGTATTAGCTTTTGCTTCTTGACATCTCATTTAGGAAATGAACAGTTTTAGTGTTTGGCAAGGGGAAATATTTTGAGACATGAGAATTATTAATATATGAAAATCTTATTTTTAATGACATTTATCATTGGGGAAACCTGTAAGTTTTTTTTCTTCCAGAACAAGGGAGTCATTTGTGGCATAATAGGATCATCTGGGACAGTTTTTAAAAATACTGTTTTTTAGTTGGGTGTGGTGGCACATATCTGTAATCCCAGCACTTGGGAGGTTGAGGCAGGAGAATCACTATGAGTTTGGTGCCAGCATGGGCCACAAAGTAAATTCAAGGCTAGCTTAAACTACGAAGTAAGACCCTGTCTCAAAAAACCAAAACCAAACCAAAACAAAAATGAAAAACAAAAAGCAAAAAAGTTTTTTCCCTAGAGACTTTTATAGCCTATAAGAGAGTAAGTGAGTGTGTATACATTTTGGGCAGTTGCTGACAGGGCAATGTTGTTATAAGTATTTTGAAGAAGGTTTCTGTATTCTCACCCAGCATCCAGTTGACAGTTGTCACCCTAGAATATGATGAATAAGTCTGATATAAAACACGTAGATACGAAACCAAAAATTGGAGGCACCTGGGTAGCCCAAAATAGGAAAGAAAAGAGAAGATTTTTGAGGATGGCTATAATTTGAAGCTTGACAGACTAATGTAGTAGTGCTGTAAGTAATTAAGAACATTCTAGAAGAATTTCTAGAACATTCTAGAAGAATTCTAGAAGAGGTTTAGATAAGGAAGATAATGAATAATAAATGAATAATGAATAAGATTTGAGGAAGTAGAGAAAGCTAGTGTTTATTCTTTTGAGAGTTTTATCATTGAAGATCAAAAAGGGAGACTGTAGGAATTTGAACTGGTACCAAGTAGAAGGTATTTATTTTAGGAGCAACATTTGAGTGTGTTTCACACAGAAGGAAGAAGAGACTAAAGGAGTGAGTTAAGAGCGAAATGAATAGGATAAAATTTTAGAAGACATGGTAGGCATTCTTTAAAGAGTGTCCTTGAGAGCTGGGTGTGGTGGCACATGCTTACGATCCCAGCTTTTGGAAGATTGAGGCAGGAGGAGTGCCATGAGTTCACGATCAGCCTGGGCTACATAAGCCAGCATGGACCATGTAGAGAGACCTCATTTCAGAAAACCAAGGGAAGAAAACAAGAATATTCTGGATAGAGTCAACCAAACCAACAAAGCCAAAAAGTCAGGTAGGATGGATACATCAAGCAAGCAAAGTAAGTAAAAAAAAGGGGAAAATGAACAGTCTTGTAACAGGCAATGAAATTGAGGTAATAATAAAAAACTAAGAAAAGCCCAGTGTGTGATGGGTTCACTGCTGAATTCGACACACTTTAAGGAAAGATGTAATGCCAATAATCCTCAAACTCTTTAATGAAATTGAAAGTGAAAGAGTACTCCCAAAGTTATTCCTGGAAGCTAGCATTACTCTGATTCTAAAACCAGACAAGGATTCAACTAAAAGAAGAAAATTATAGGCCAATCTCTTTAATGAACACAGGGGCAGATATCTTCAAAAAGACTGGCAACAAGTCAACAACAATGTCACACATCGTGATCAAGTATTAAATCTAGGGGATGCAAGGATAGTTTAGCATACACAAATGAAGAAATTACATAAACAGAAAGAAGGACAAAAAGTACATGATCCTGTTGATAGATGCAGAAAAAAAGCTTTTGACAAAATCCAACATCCATTCATGTTAAAAACCCTGAAGAAAATAAATAAAGACCTTTTCTGAGTTTGGTAAAAGCTACGTATGGAAAACAACAGTCAACAGCATATTAAGTGGGGAAAAACTGAAACGTTCTCTCAAAAATCAGAAACAAGACAAGGATGTCCACTATCATCATTCTTGTTTAATATTGTACTGAAAATATTAGGACAATCAAGAAAGAGAATGAATAAAAGGGATATGAAAAAAGGAAGTGAAATTAATTTGCACATGAGATGATCCTTTGTGCAGAAGATCCAAAATTTCTATCTTGGATCAGCAACCAAATTCAGCAATGTAGCAGTATACAAAAATCAGACAAAAATCAAAGCATTCCTGTACAGCAAAAATGAACTAACTGAGAAATTAAGAAAACAATACCATTCCCAGTAGCAACAAGAAAAATTACTTAAGTGTTAACCTAATCAAGGAAGTGAAAGAATTCTTCAATATAAACTATATTATCCTTGAAAAGTTAAAGAGAACATAAGAAAATGGAGAGATGGTCCCTGTTCCTGGAGGAGCAGAACTAGTATTGTCAAAGTGGCTATCCTTCCAAAACCAATACACAGTTTTAATGCTCTCTCAAGTAATATACCAGCAGTGCTTCTCACAGAACTATACAGAAATCAGTCCTAAAATTCATATGGAAGCAGAAGAGACCCAGAATGGCAAACACAATCCTGAGTAATGAGCAAAAGTGTTGGCATTGCAATCCCAGATATAAAGTTATATTACAAAACTACACTGATTAAAAACAGCATGGTTATTGGCAGAAACACATGAATCAGTGGAGTAGGATAGAGGATATAGAAATGGCCCTTTCAGCACTTTGATCTTCGACATAGGGGACGGAAACATTTGCTGGAGGAAAGATAGTCCTTTTAATAAATAGTACCAGGAAAGCTGGCTACCCACCTGCAGATTGAATCTAGACCCTTATCTTTCACCATGTACTAAAAATAAAAATTGATCAAATATCTAAATGTTACAACAGAAACAGTCTAAAAAGATGAGCCTGTGGGAAAATAAAATAGGTAAAACATTTTGAAGACGTAGGTGTAGGCAAGAATTTTCTAAACAGAACCCCAGTTGCATAAGAAATAACATGAAGAGTCAACAAATGGAATCATATCATTGAAAAATTTCTGACAGCAAAGGAAACAGCCAACAGCTTGAAAAGACAACCTACAGAGTAGGAAAAAAAATTGCCAGCTATTCCTTTAACAGAAAACTAGAATACATAAAAAACTAAAAAAAATTAGACCCTCTAAAATAAAATCAAACAGTGGGTAACTGAAATGAATAGGTAATTCTCAGAAGTACAAATGGCCAATAAATAGGTGGAAAAATGCTCAACATCTCCTATTATTAAGAGAAGAGAAGCTGAAACAATGCTGAGATTCCATCTTATTATCATCAAGAAGTCAAATAATAATGTGCTGGCAAGACTGCAGGGAGAAAGGAACTCTTCTGCATTGTTGATGATGATGTAATTGGTGTAGCCACTGTGGAAGTCAGCATGCAGTTTCCTCAAAAACCAGAAATTCCACTCTATCCAACTATTTACCTTCTAGGTATCTTCCTGAATGAGTTTAAGATGTCATATTTCAGCGATACATACATTCCCATGTCGATAGCAGCACAAATCATAATAGCTCAGTCTCAAAAATGGCCTGTGAATCGATAAATGGATAATGAAAATGTTAGATTTATATGCAGTGGTGTAGTACTGAGTTACAAAGAAGGATAAATTTGCATCATTTGCAGGAAAATGGATGTACCTTGAGACTGTCATGTCAAATGAAATAAATCAGACACATGCTAGTTAGATGTTTATTCTTAAATGGGAAACTCAAAATATAAATAAATCAAAGATAAAAGATAATAGGAAACAGGGAGGTAGAATTTTTATAAATGGGAGATTGATCAAGAGATGAGATAGAGGAGGGAAGGGAATGTAAAAATAACTAAAATATGTTATGTACTTATTTTTAGTCCCCGCAATGCAGGTGATCGCTGTGTATTGCAGATATGCACTAATAAAAAATTGCTTTGTTACTGGTTGTAAAACCTTGGACAAATTAGTTTTTCTGTCAGCTGTTATTTGTAAGGTAGAAATTATGAAATGACTTACAATTTTTTTTGTGTAAATACTGTATATAAAGAGTTTAGCTCAGAATCTGATGCATAGTAGGTCCTTAGTAAAAAGTTGCTTGTTGCTGTTCCTGATAGCAGTATAGGACACACTGCAGGATTAATTGAAAATTTTTTTTGTCTTTGAAGAAATGATTGCTTTATATTCTCTACTTTATTGCTTCTTGACTAAGCATTGTGAAAACTTTAGTAAATCAGTATTTTTGTGTCTAGAGAGGGATTTTGCATACACTTGAAAACAAAACTCAGTTTGGTTAGACATTAAGTTAGAAAATTAAGTCATTTATATTTACAAGGTATATATACCTTATGACTGTCCCTTCATCTCTCCTTCATTCTTCTTTTTTATTATTTGCTTTTGATGTTTTGAGCTACCAGCTAACTGTAGTTTAGGCTAGTCTTGAACTCACTATGCAGTCCAGCCTGGCCTCTAACTCATGATGATCCTCCTGCCTCAGCCTCCTCTCCTCTACTATGCTGGGATTAAAGGTATGTGCCACCATGCCTGGCTTATTTTTCCTTCATAGCATTTATTACAATTGCAAGTTTACACTCACTTATCTGATGATTTGATTTGTTGCTTTTTTTGCAGATTTTAATTTCTATGAGGGCAGAGACGATTTTTTCACCACATATCGTTCACACATAAAACGTGTTTAAAAATAGAGTTGCTGAAAGGTTTTGATGAACAAAAGGAGTATGGGCATTTAAGTTACAGAATAACTGATTTTGCTTTTGTTTAAATTTTATAAAATTTTATTATTCCATGTTTGCAGTACATAAAGATGGTTATGTAAAGATAGTTGATCCAAGAGTTTCACTAAACACATTATTTGAAGTCTTTCAGTCTGTTCCTTTGTTTTATTTTTTTAAAATTTTATTTTTTCTAGTACTTTTGTAGTACATGATGGTTGCATTTATCATGGGGAGATGGTACATGTAATTAGCACATTTAATTCTTGTATCTCCTTTCTCTCCCTTCTCTCTCTACTTTCTCTGTCTCTTTCCCTTTTATAAAAAGGAACGATCTATTTTTTAAGGAACAATGTATTTTGACTACTAACTAGAAATAAAGTATTCTGAGATATCATTCTCCCTTTTCACTCACGTAACACCTTGTACTTTGATCTCTTATGTTGATTATTTTAACCACATTATTATTATTATTTTTAATTTTATTTAAGGAAAAAAGAAAAAAGTGTACAAGTTTTACAGAATTTCAGAAAAAATAAACAGTAGGAAATCACTAGTTAATAGATTACATATTGTCATCTTAGAAATAGTTGTTCAAATTACAAAATTAAAGCATTTAAAGTGGACTTTCAAACAGACTGCAAACAGTTCTGTTCAATGATCCAACAAAACTCAGTAATATGGTTATCTATCTTATACACTTAAATATAATGCAGTTATATTCTTTAGGGCACTTTCTTTTCCTCTCTTTTGTACAACGACAATTACACATTTTGGGTTTTATTACTCCTACAGTTCTTACTACTTTTTTTTGAAGAAAGTAAAACCAAATGTGACAGAACAGAACAGAGTCAGTCAAATCAAAAGGATGTACATAATAGATAATGTAAAAACAAAATACAAGGTGATCAACAATGGTTACCATACTGCCTCTTGCTATCTTAAAAAGAATTGCCTATATCATCAGTTATAATAAAATTGGACAAAACAGTAAAGAATAAAACCAAAACTTTGGAGACATTAGAGGACTTCAAAAGAAGATAATAGTCAACCAGAATGGGCGTCATAATGAATCTTATTGTCTTCACAGTTGTTGCCTATACTTTCGAACTTGGTACTATCAAGCAAAGCAGAATAGAGGAAAATCAGTCAAAACAAGATGGTGAGAGCAATCTAGGGTTTCAAATCAAGTTAATAGGAAATCATCAAAGTGGATTACTATAATATATCCTGCTATTTTTAATTTTTTTCCCTTAATTAAAAAGATAAAAAAGTTAATAATAAAATGGAGATGGAGATAAAAGAGAGCATAACAACAAAACAGTGCAGATCAAAACATAACCATTTAAGCAGAATAGTGTTTCACCACAAGATAATCCCGACATAAAAGTAGTTACCATATTATCTCTTTCCTTGAAATCTTTGCGTATAACTTCATATACTGTAGCATCAAATATATCAAAACAAAGTAAAACCATTCAAGAGAATGACAGTATTACAGGGTATTTAGAATCAACTAACAGAAAATGAACAATGGTTTCTGTATAATCTCCTTGTCTATAAAAGTTTTTGTTTATACTATCTTATATAATAAAATCCAGTAAGATACAGCATGTTAAGACCTATGGAGACAGAAGAACAAAAGCCTAATGGGACTTCAAACAAGATGAATTAAATCAGTATTACCTATTATGACGTTATTTTCTCCAAAATAGCTGTTCCTACCATCCAATTTTCTCTGCCTCATTTCTGTTGAGCTATTTTTCTGTCATTAGTTGTCAGTTTGTCTTCTTCATTTTGTTCTCTGCTCCATTCATTGTGGCCTCTCTGCCACTATTTCTGGAATCTTTGTATTTTTCTTTTTTAGAATATCCTGCAGTATTCTCTGTAGAGTTGAATTGGTGGTTGCAAATTCCCCTAGTTCCTCTTTATCCTGGAAGCACCTTGTTTTTCCATCAATTTCCAGGGATAGTTGTGCAGGATATATCAATCTTGGCTGGAGGTTATTATCTTTCAAAGCTTGAATTATTTCCCCCCACGCTCTTTGTGATTTGATGGTTTGTGCCGAGAAGTCTCTTGTAATTCTGATGGGTGTTCCCTTGTAAGTGATCTATTTCTTGTCTCTGATGGCTTTTAATATTCTGTTCTTATATTGGATTTCTGGAATTTTGATTATTATATGCCTGGTGTAGCTCTGTTTGGGTTGTAGGTGGCTGGGGTCCTGTATACCTCATATATCTGAGTATCTTTACCTTTTGCTAAATTAGGGAAATTCTCCTAGATTATTTCTGTGAATAGCTTTTGTAGTTCATTTGTGTCCCTACTTCTTCTTTTATGTTCTTAATTCTTAAGTTATAGATCCTCTTATCATCTTCTAGCCTTTGTATTATTGCTGTTTGTTTTCTTGTTATTTTTAAGAAGTTTTTCATTTCATGCTCCCACATTACAAATCTGCCCTCCAATTCAGATAATCTATCCTTAGTTTCTTTCAAGCTGTTATGCCAGCTTTCGATAAGAGTTTTTAGTTTCCTTGGTAATCTCTTTGAACCTGCTTCACGTATTCTATTTTTCTCTATTTTCTCCATCAAACAATTCTCTCCTTTTTTTCTGTTTTTCCATTCCACCATCTGTTTTTTCTTGGGTGGTGCTTAGCATTTCTCTAACTATTCTACTTATATCTTGCTTTATTTTGTAAATACTTCACTTTTGAACTCATCTATGAGGCTCTGGAGATATTGCTTTATGTCTATTGGTGCCGTGTCTGATATTGCATGTTTTCTGTCCTCATTCTCCTTTGCATTTACCTTTCCTGGATCAGTGTTGTCAGGATTGGGGACTGAGGACCCTTTCTTGTTGCTCCCTCTTCCCATACTTTTTGTTCCTTCCATACAAGCATATATAGGAGGCCCAGTTTTTTTCTTTGTCTGTTACAGTTTGTTTGAATTGTGCTGGCTAGGTGTTCCTGCCCACTGCAGTGTACTAGGGAGATGCAGACCTGGGCAGCCTCTGCTGGGCCCGCCCCTCCAAGTCAACCTATTGAAGGCTTTACTGCTAGGGTGCACTGCCAGGCTTTGGGACCTGGTTTGGGCTAGCCTACTGGGTCTGCAGCGTCACCCAGGCCAAGTGCTCTGCACCAGTCCCACTTGAGAGGGGAATATGTGACTAAAAGTCACTGCAACATCCTATTCCTCCTAGTCTGCCGGGTCCCAGAATGTCCTCTTTTGGAGCCTCCTAGTCTATGGAAGGGTCCCCGTTTCTCTCACTCACCGCAGGTTGATGCATGGCTCCCCACCAGTCCTGCTCTCAACTCCATTTGCCGATTCCCGCTCTCAGAGCTTTCGTGCATCTCCCTCCCTGTTGTGCAGATTTGGATGCAGCCGCGGCAGCAGGAAATTCAAATCACGTGGGTTCCAGCTTCGGTGCTGAGATTTTATCTGTTCCAGTTATAGCACCGAGATTGCATTTCCAGTTGGTTTCTCTCAGCTTAGTTCATTCCTGGGTCGGCAGGATATATCTCCCCTTGCTTAGGACTCCTCACACTGTACGATTCCTGGATTCTAAGCTGAGTATCTCAGAGAGCTTCTGTAGCTGCTGTTAGCTATCCACCATGTTCTTCTGGAAGTCACATTATTATTTTCTTAAAGTTTCTTCAGCTGGGCTCTTTGGTTTCAGAGAGAGCTTGCGTTCTTTATTTTTGGGTACCCGCTTTATAGCATAACACCTTGCATGTGGTAAATCTTTATAGAAATAATTGGCTCAATGTCACATAAATAATCTCTTTTCAGGAAATGCTGGGGCTTTCCAAAGTACCAGTTACTCAAGCAACGCGTGGTCCTCAGGTACAGCAGCCACCTCCTTCCAACAGGTAATAGTCAATTATGGCAAACAAAATTTGCCCTTGAACATAGACATTTAGTAGTAATATATATTAAATGTTTTTTGGAGCATAGTTGTATTACATTAGTATACTTTTTAAAGGGTTTAGGCACAATCATGTCTCTGAAATGGTTTGCTTTTCATCATTGTAATATGTTTAGTTTTGCTATATCCCTGATTTTTTGTTTGAGTTCATAAAAACTTAATTTTTGTGGTTTCGAGGCATCAAACAAAAAGGTTTTCATTTTATCATCTCAATCTTAAAGATATCTTATTATCTTAACTTTCTAATCTAATCAGAGATAGTCTTCTCATAATTGTTTCAGTAATTTTAAAGCTCACTAGATGAGTAGATAGAAGATGAAATCCCAAGTTAGCACTTGGTTTGAGTGTCTTGTTCATAAGAGTTGTGTCTAAGTGTGGTTCCTGGCCGTGTAGCATCAGTCTTGCCTGCCGACTAGATTGCAATGCAGGGTCGTGGCTGCACCCAGATCTGCTGAAATGAACTTCGGAAACTGGGCCTCATGGGCATTTTAAAGCAAACATTCCAGCTGATTCCAAGGTGTATGAAAGTTAGAAAACCGTAAGTTTGCTGTGTATTCAAAGTGTTTTTCGTTGTTTCTTAAAGTGTCACGCACATTTACAAATGATTTTTTGTTTTGCAGATTCTTACAGCCAGTACAGAAAATAGACATGAATCTCACAGATCTTCTGGGAGAACTTCAGCGAGACCCTTGGCCTGTACCCCAGGGAAAGAGACCTTTGCGTTCCTCGGGAGTGGCCCTGTCCATAGCTGTAGGACTACTAGAGGTAGTGATGATCGATTTATTTTGGAATGTAAATTTGTGTGTGCATGTGTGCATATGTGTATGCATGTGTGTAATCCCAAGGACAAAGAAAAATATCAAATCAGAATTCTTTTTCTTCTTACTCTTTTTAGTCTCTCAGTCAATAATCAATGTAGTGACAAAAGTCAGGTCATATGTGTGTGGGTGTTAACCCATACACTAAACAAGCAGTACTGCAATGGGTGCCAGCTGAATGTGCTATAATTCATTTCAATTTGGGTATCATCTATATAGAAATAACATAAGGTATCACAGACTAAGGGTTCACTTCCATGATATTGGCCCCTAATTCAGATGCCAGTTGTCACCTCTGCTTCTGACTGATCAGTTATAAACTGGAGATTCCCATGATCCCCTCTTCAAGTTTGATTAATTTTCTAGAGTGGCTCACATACTCGAGGAAGTACTTTTTTTTTTATTAACCTGTAGAAAATTTGAAGTTTGTATGTAATTTGTGTTTTAGTTTTGTGAAAGTGCCTGTTGTTGTCCTTTTATTTGTTCTTGTCCTTCATTGTTTCAATTTGTTTTTTGAGGCAGGGCCTTACGAGTTCAGGCTAGCCTTGAACTCATTATATAGTTCAAGCTAGCCTTGAACTTGCAGCAATCCTCCTGCCTCAGCACCCTAAGTTCTGGGATTTCTGGTGTGTACCATCACACCTGGCCTGTTCTTGTTCTTCACTGTTGTTTAATATTTATATAATTATTACCTCTGATAACTAGAGTGAAGCATATTGCTTATTAAAGTAGCTTAAGAAAGTTATAGAGTGATAAATATACCTTATAAAGACAACATAAAAGAATTTAAAAATGAAAAAAAGATAATTTTCATTGTTAATCCCTAGATTTGTTAGTCATATGATATTAAAATTATCAGTTTATATAATTTATATTCTGTTCCAAACCCATAATGTAGCTTAAAAAATATAGTTTATTTTGTCTGATAACTGCTTATGGAATTTATAAATACAAAGCACTTTAATGTGATTATATAAATATTGTGGAATAATACATAGAGATGGAAATATAATCCATTGTCATTGAAGTTTTGCTAATAAGAATCTCATGTATCAAAGTTTAAGGATACCTTTGCATTTGTTTTTCTAGACTTGCTCATTTCCCTTGGGTTGTGCTTAGTTGTCCTTTTTTTATAAATTTTCTGAGTTCTTACAAGCCCCAAACTGTTTTTAAGTGTTCTTTTTCACTTTATTGGTGGTTGGGTGACTGTGGAAGCCTAAGTTCAAAAGAATCACTTAGAAGTTTGAGGTACTTCTCTCTAGTATTCTAACATATAGCAGCTTATTGATGATAATTTGATGTAGACTTGTTTTTTTTTTTTATGAAACTCATTTTTCTTATTAGACATTTTTAGAACGTTCTCTTTATAATTATAGGGTTCTGTAATTTCTTTAGACTGTGTTCAGGTTTATTTTTTCAGCAGTTATGTTTGGTTTTTGTAAGTCCTTTCAATTTGAAAATTTCTGTAATTCTCCAGCTTCACTTTTTTTGTCTTTTAAATTTGATATTCATTAGATTATTGTTAGATATCCATATCTTTATATATTTCTATTTTTTTTCCTCATAGTTTTCTTCTTTGTTCCTATGCCTGGGTGTTTCCTTAGTTTTATTTTCTTTTTCTCTAACTCAGTCTTCATATGTGCTGTTTAGCTTAGCTATGGTTTTTTCCCCAATGCCTTTCATTTCAGAAGGTCTTGAGAGTTTTCATTTTTCTTAGTCTCTGGGATGTAATAATGCCTGATACCCACAATTTAGGGGAGAAGAGGTATATTTTGGCACGTGTTTTGTAGAGGTTTCAGTCCATAGTTGGCTGGGTCTAGGGCAGAAGTAGCATAGTAGAAGGGCCTGGGCAGGGGAAAGCTGATTCTCTCCTGGTGTCCCTGAAGCAGAGGAGACAAAGGCAGAGCCGGGAAGGGGGGTGTAACCTTCTGGGTCGTGCCCACAGCTACTGCCTCCTCCAGTCAGACCTAGCCTGTTAATAGCAAATCACCTGTAATGTCATTAGACCCAGTCACCTTCCAACTGCATGAGGCTTTAGGGGGACATCTAGCTATAAACTCTAACATTGGTGTTTGTTTTGAAATCTGCTGTAACATGTACTCGTCTGTATCTCTCAGTTTATAATTTCTGTGCTAAAAAACCTTCTCCAGGCAGATGACATACTTTCCACAGATCAGGTTACAGGAATTTCTGATGGCAAAATCTGTCATCAGTGATTATATCTAGAGTACAGATATATACTGCATCTTTGTTGGACCATTTTTTAAAAAAAATTCTGAATGTGGAGCTTTTCATATATTCCCTTGAGAAGATCTAGCTTAATTTGAATTTCTGGAATTTATATAACATATATAAGTAATATATATTCCTTTTTGCTCATCTAATATAGTCTTTTTGAATTCCTCAATATTTCCAGTCTACTGATAGTATGCTTTCTTATCTTTAAATGTTACTTACTTTTTCAGTTTTTATTTTTTATTAGTACATGTATGTAGTATCTAGTGATCACATTCCTTGTGGGGAGTTGGTACATGTGTATAATGTGTCTCAGTTCTTTTTTCATCCCATTGTGTATTCCCTTCCCCCTTTCCTCTATCTCTGTTTCCTTCCTATTTCTGAAAGATCTATCTCCTTACTTACTGTTGTCTATTTTTTATGTAGTCTGTATTTATATTTTAGGTTTCTCGTATAAAAGAAACCTTGCAGTATTTAAACTTGTGCATCTGGTTTATTTCACTTAACACTGTGGTCTCAGGCTGTGTCTGTTTTCCTACAGATACTTCAGGCTTATCCTAGAGTAATAATCCATTGTGTATAAATACTACATGTTATTTATACATTCATGTTAATGGACATACAGACTGCCTTCAAGAGTTAGCTATTATGAATTGTGCTACTGTAGACATGGGTATCCATGTACGGTTGTAATATGATGTCTTTAACTCTTTTGGAAGGATACCTAGCAGAAAAGTAGCTGGATCAAATGGAATTTCTAATTTTAGTTTTTTGTGGAATCTCCATACTTATTTCTATAGTGGTTGTGCTAGTTTATATTCCCAACAACAATTTAGAAGGGATCCTTTTTCCTCACAGCCTCGTCAGCATTTGTTATTGGTTGACTTCTAAGTGCTAGCCATTCTTTCTGGAGTAAGATGGAATCTTGGTGTTCTTTAATTTGCATTTCCCTAATGGCTAGAGATGTTGAACATCTTTAAAAAATATATATTTATTGGTTATTTGTACTGCTTTTTCTAAGAAATGTCTGTTCATTTCAGTTGCCTATTTTTTGATTGGGTCTTTTGTTTTGGGGAGGTCTAATTTTTTTGATTCTTTATATATTGTAGATATTTGTTTTCTACCTGAGGAATATCTGGCAAAAATATTTTCTCATTCAGTAGGTTTTCACTTTGTTGGTGGTTTGCTTTTCTGTGGAGATATGATCCCATGTATTGATTATTGTGTAACTGGGGTTCAGTTCAGAAAGTCCTTACCTCCACCTAATGTCTCCAAGAGTTTTACCTATTTTATCTTCTAGGATATTAAATGTTTCTGTTTTAGCATTTGGCTCTTTGATCCATTTTGACTTTTACTTATGCACCTGGGAATATATGGGTCTAGGTTAGATCTTCTGCATGCAGATGGCCAGTGTGCCCTGCATTTCTTATTAAGGAAACTGTACTGTGGTACCTTGGTTAATAAACTTAATTTGTCCTATGTTTATGTTTGTGTAAAGAAGATGGCCATGGTCTTGTTGGTTGTTCAATGCAGAGTTTGAAAACAGAAACAAAATTGTGCCAAAGGTTCTATTTGTGAACCAACTTGTTTGCAAACAAAAGCATTTGTGAACCAAGGTACTGCTATATTTTCTCCTATGTGCTTTTGGCCTCTTTGTTAAAGATCAGATAGCTGGATGTGCTTCTAGATCCTTTGCTCCATTCCATTGATCCACATGTCTGTTTTTCTGCTAGTCCCATGCTGTTTTTATCAGTGTAGCTTTGTGATATAACTGTATCTGGAATTGTCATACCTTCTCGCCTGCCCTTAATACACAGGATTGCTTTTACTCTTCTATCTTCTGGTTCCATATGAATTTTATTTTTTAGTTTTTCTGGGAGATGTTTTGAACTTACTACATAGGCTAGCCCTGAACCAGCAGTGATCCTCCTGCTTCAGCCTCCCAAGTACTGGGATTATAGGCAATCCAGATATTGGCTTACAGAAAAAGCTAATTAATAGCATCAACTGTGCCAACTTTGGCAATAGCAGTACCAGCAGCAATACTAATAGGCCATTCCTTCACTTCAAAAAACCGGTGATGGAAAAAACAAAGAAAAAAATTGAGTTAAAAAAAATCTCCTGTATTTTTGAATGAGTGGTTTCTCCCTAGAATCAGCAGTCTTGGAATCCAACAAGTCATGCTTTTCTCTGCTGAACTTTACAGCCCATGAGGCTGTGAGGTGCCCCTTGCTTTAGAGGCCCTGTTTGCACTGCAGGCATTGGCAACTGTCCCAGCCCGGTTGGACCCTGCTCACTTGGTGAATGGGAAGGCACTTGGATCGCTGGTTCCTGTTGGGTGCAAGCCGCAGTGGGGCTGGGTGTCTAAGTAGACTGCTAGACTTGCCGCCAGCAGTTTCAGGTCCAGCCCCCTCTTGGGCCTGATTTCTTACCACAGAGGCTGGGGCGGTGTCCTTTTCCACCTGACATTCATGTCCTGTATGTCTGTGTCTAGCCTGCACCTTCTTCATGGCTGTGTCTTCTTGGCTGTGTCTTTCCCAGTCACGTGGGAGAGTGACACTGGAACCTCCTTGGGTGTAGTTGTTCAATGACTTAGTTTTAACCCCTTCCCCAAATGAGCTTCAATAAACCCACTCTGGCAATGTGGCAGTGTTTGTCTGTGTTTCTTCTCCAACTCTAGCCTCCCATAGAGTAGTCACTTTTGAAGTAACACCAAGCTGTGCTTGTGTTTTTAGGCTGGCTGTGGGCTTCTCTGGGGGCTAGTGTGCTGCAGGCCAGGTGTGTTATTGCTCCCTTGAGTGGCTGGTTCTGAGGCTTAGCTTCTGTCCCAGAGTCAGCATTGTCCACCGTCAGGTCAATCAGTGGGTGCCTCTGGTGCCAAGGGGAAACAGAACACAGGATGGCCTTGGAGTTGGTGCCTGGTTCCAGCTAGGATACAAAATCCAGTCTCAGAGTTGGTCAGCGGCTTTACTTATGTTTTAAACAATACCTTTTCTTTCATTTCCTTGGCATGGGAGGAAGGAGAAATAGATTGGAGTACTCAGTGTATGAGCTTTAGATGAGTATGTCATGCTGACACTTTAAACACAGAAGGAAAACAAGAATAAATAGGCAAGGCTATATCTTGGTGATAGAGCAGTTGCCAGCATGCCTGAGGTCTTTAGTTTGCTCCTGAGCACTGTCCCCTGAGAGAGAGAGAGAGAGAGAGAGAGAGAGAGAGAGAGAGAGAGAAGGAGAGAGAGAACAATGCCAAACAGAAGATGCCTTTTTCCCTCTCTTTACTTCTATCCAGAACTAGAAAAGCTGGAGAAAGGTTCTTGTTTGTAGGGATTAGGTGTATGGATTATTTAAAAATCAAGAATGCAGTACTACTTAGGGATTTAAAATTGCACGGACACCTTGTTTTTAAACATCATTGTAAACGTTTGATTATTTTATTTATTAGAAATATATCCCTTCCTCTTTTCTAAAAATAATATGCCAGAAAGATATAACCATATGTTTTTTGTTTCCCTCTAATTACTTTTGATGAATTACTTTTTTCCAACAGTGTACTTTCCCCAACACTGGTGCTCGTATCATGATGTTCATTGGTGGTCCTGCTACCCAGGGACCTGGCATGGTGGTTGGAGACGAACTGAAGACACCTATAAGATCATGGCATGACATTGACAAAGACAATGCCAAATATGTAAAAAAGGGAACTAAGGTAATTTTGACTTTAAAACCTTTTTACCATACTAGAAATCAGGTATTCATTTGATTAAAGAAGAATGCAAATTATTTCTCTACCTCCTAGTATCATGCAGTGTGAGACTGTAATTGCTATTCAGTATTGGAGAAATATTTTTCACATTGTCAAACATTTTCAGTTTGAAATATTTAAAAACTTGATAGGTTCCAGTAGTTATGCCTTTAAAGATTACTCCTGAGAGAAACTTTTGGTGCCTTTTGAAATACTAAAGTTACAGAATGTCTTTCTCCTCAGGAAGCGTTTCTTTTGTTTTCTGTTCAGCTGCCTCAGGAGGCAGTATGTTTCCTGTAGTATTGTCACTGCTTATAGTTTGAGCAGTTCATCATTTTCCTTGTGAGTTGTGCTGTCTTCTAACTGCACTTTTGAGGGCTTGTGAAAGTCTATTTCACTAATGACGTGTCTTCCATATTGGTTCTACTTGTGATGTCCCTGGTAAAAATATTCTTTTGGAGTGTACAGTTTTAGTTCAGTTATGCTGTATTATAATTTTTTAACTTAATTTTATTGGTATACTTTTGATATATGTAATGATCACATTCATCATAGGGAATTTTGGTTTGTTTTATTATTTTGTTTTTTGAGACAGGGTCTCACTATATAGTTTAGGCTGACCTTGAACTCACTGTGTGGCCTAGGCTGGCCTTGAATGTTCATTAATCCTCCTGCTTCAGGCTTCTGAGCGCTGAGATTCCAGGCATGTGTCACCAAGCCAGGCTCATCATAGGGAATTTGACTCTTCCTTTTCCCCCTTTCCTTTCCCTCCAACCCATCATCCCCTCCTTATTTAAAAAGCCTTCATTTCCATTTTTTTCTTCTATTCTTTTTTTCCTTTTCCCTATGTTACACTGTTTTAGTAGTTATTTTAAAAAATATAACTAGGTATGGTGGTGCACATCTGTAACCCCAGCTATTCAAGAGGCTGAGGCATACCAGCCTGGGAAGTTTAGTAAGAACTTGTAAAAAATAAAAATAACAAAAAAGGGCTAGGGCTGTAGCTCAGTGGTAGAGTGCTTTTTAATATGTGTGAATGCCTGGGTCCAATCTCCAGTACCACTAGAAAAAAAAGTAGTTAATGACAGACAATTTTTATTACAGTTAGTGAATGCTTTCTTTCCTGCCAACTAATGTCCTCTTTGAGCATGGGATTTTTCTTGGTTAGAGCTGCCAAAAAAGCTTCACATTTGGTTATCTTACTACTTATGGTAATGCCTCTGTTTTTGGATATTTTTGTTACTTGAACATGAATATAACCAGGAAGAAGTTATGTGTTGCTGATCTATGTATTTATATATGAAGAACAAGATATTCACCATGCTATTTAAATTTTCTTTCACTTGGGGGTTTATTTAGAAAAAATGGCTTTTAAGTAAAAGAACAGGAGAATAACATATTTCTAGAAGTGACTATATCATTTTTATGAGATATAGCAAATTAACTGAGAACAAATCCTATTTAAATTATGAATTATTTTTGCCTGAAATAATTTTGACCTGATTTATGAATTATTAAGCTTGTATTTTTAACTTAAAAAATCTTTTATAGCATTTTGAAGCATTGGCTAATCGAGCTGCTACAACTGGTCATGTTATTGACATCTATGCCTGTGCATTAGATCAGACGGGTCTCCTGGAGATGAAATGCTGTCCCAACCTTACTGGGTATGTATTTAACTTAATTAATTTCTTTTTACAGCTTTTGCAATTATAAACTAAGAATGATGGTTTATAAGTGTAAAGCAGTAGTGATTGTTTAGGCACGAAAATATCATCTTACGCTATCAGAGGAAGATTTGTTCGCAGTTCTGGTGTTTCTTCACCAAACTTAAAATTCTCTTTAAATATTTTTGTCAGAACATCAAACTTTAAAGGTACAAGTTCTGCTTATAAACTTGATATTGATATCTTGAAGCCATTGTTTCATTTTGTTATTATAACAGAGATTGAACCCATGGCCTTGAACACGCTAGGCAAGTGCTCTGCCACTGAGCTACATCTCCAGCTTGTTAGCAGCAGCAGCAATTTTTTTTTTGAGTCAGAGTCTCGCTATGTGGTTCAGGCTAGCTTTGAACTCACCATGTACCCTAAGCTGGCATTGAACTGGCAGTGCTGTCCTGCCTTAGCGTCTCACTGCTGAGATTACAGGTGTGCGCCATCTCCAGCAACATTTTTGATGCATAAATTCATATATCATAATATTTACCTATTTAAAATGTTGAGTGTGATGGTGTTCAGTATATCATAGGTTGCTTGAACAATAACTTTCGACCATTTTTATCAGCCTAGAGAGAAACTCTACCCATTAACAGCCACTTTCTTTTTCCCTTCCTCTTTTCTCCATTCTATCAGCCCTAGGCAACCAATAATTACTTATTTTAGATTTTTAATAAATGGAATAATGCAATATTGGCTTCTCTTACTTAGCATAATGTTTTCAGGGTTCATGCATGCTTAGGATGAACCATTACTTCATTTCTCTTTTTTGGTGAATAAAAAATGAAGACTAGGTCCCTCTTATTGTTTAATACTTTTACATTGTATGGATACATCCATCACATTTAGTCCATCAACCACTGAACATTTAATTACTACTTTTTGGCTATTTTGAGTAATGCTACTTTGAACATGTGTGTAAGGTTTTGCATGGGCATTAAGTTTTATTTTTCTTAGATATATACCTAGGAATGGAGAGGTTGGGTTCTGTGACAATCTGTGCTTAATGTTTTGAAGGAGAACCTATAATTCCAGCACTTGAGAGGCTGAGGCACGAAGACTGCCTGAGTCCAAGGCCAGCCTGGGCTACATAATGAGTTGAAGGCCACTCTAGAATATACACTAAGAGTGTCTCAAAAGCCAAGCAAACAATCCAAGAAAACCTCCAAACCAAGCCAACCCCCCAAAATAAAAAAAACGTTTTGAACTATTGTAAAACTTTTTTCCAAAATCATCACATCACTTTGCATTAGTTCGTACCACCCAAGTGTGAGGGTTCTTACCCTTACCAACACTGGTTATTGTTTGACTGTTACCCTAGCTACACTAGTGGGTATGAAATAATATTTTATTGAGATGATTTACTTTTTTTTGAAGACTAATGATATTCAGCACATAGATATGTTTTTGGTATTTGTATGTGTTGGCAGTATACAGCAATTGCGTTCATCTGGGGAATTGGCAGTACTGTATACACATTGAGTCCTGATAAGTTTTAGTCCCCACTCTCCTCCTTGCCTTCCCCTTCTGAGCACTACCTTTCTTAGACCCCTTTCCTATAAAGTCTGCCTGCCTGTTTTCTATCTTCTCTCTTTTATTTTGCTCTTTAAATTTTTTATATTTTGGAGTTCTCATATAAGAGAATGTGTGTGATTTATAACCTTGTGTCTGATTTATTTCACTTAGCATTATGGTGTCCAGTGGATCTGTTTCCCTTCCTATAGATGACTCAAGTTTATCATTTATGGCTAAGGAGTACTCCATTGGCCATCTGTACATCCTTTGAGAAGTCTCAGTTCATTTCAGTTACCCATTTTTTGATTGGGTCTTTTATTTGGAGTATCTAAATTTTGAGTTCTTTGTATATTCTAGATATTAGTCCTCTGTCTGAGGAGTAGCCAGTTTTTTTTTTTTTTTTTTTTTTTTTTAGCATTCTGTAGGTTGTTTTCACTGGTGGTGTGCAGAAACTTTTCTTTCTTTCTTTTTTTTTTGGTACTGGAGATCGAACTCTTGACCTTGTGCTTGCCAGGCAGGTGCTAAATCCCTGGCCCCAACTTTTTATTTCTTTCTATCTATTTATTTATTTGGCACTAGGAATTGAACTCAGAACCTTGTGTTTACCAGGCAGGAGCTGTACCCTGAGCTATATCCCTGCATAAGGTTTAAATTCAGTAATCCATTTGTATTATTTCTTGTGTAATTAGGTTCTGTTCAGAAAATTTTTGCCTATGCCTATGACTTTTGGAATTTCATCTATTTCTAGGAAATTCAGTGCTTGTGTTTTTGAATTTAAATCATTGATCCATTTTGATCTGATTTTAGTATAGGGTAAGAAAAATGGCCCTACATTCATTCTTTTGCCTTTTGTTAAAGAGGGTTTTTTTCTGCAGTGTATGCTTGTGACCGTTTTATCAAAGCTGGCTGAGTGTGCTTGAGGTTGTTCCTGTGTGCACAATTCTTTTTCACTGGTCAGCATATCTGTTTTTGTGCCAATGCCATACTGTTTTCAGGGCTGTCGCTTTAATTTGAAACTCAGGCTTTGTAATGCCTACTGCTTACTCATTTTTCTCAGGATTGCTTAGACTCCTCTGGGTCTGGGCATTGATGTGTTAACAGTGATAGTGTAGCATAAGTTGTCTTAGATGACACATGTGAGTGTAGAAAAATCTGAATCTACAAATGATTAGAATTAATATGGGATGTCATTAAGGGTTCTGAATCTCATATGACTACGTTTTTATATTCTAGTAACAGAAAGCAAAATATTCAGAGATAAAATCTGTAAAAGCATCTGAGATAATATATCATAACTTTTATCAGCATCCAAAGTAAAATGACTATATTCCACATCAATATTTTTTGCTTATTTTAATTTTTATTATGTAATTTTTTTCATATGTATTGTACTGGGGATTTGACTCAAGGAATGCTGATCCACAGTATTCCTGGCTCCTCTTTATTTGTTTACTTTTTACTTTAGAGATAGGGTCTCTCTGAGTTGCTCAAATGAGCCTTAACTTGCTGTCCTTGGCCTCCTGAGTAGTCTGTAGGGTGATGGATGTGTCCCTCCATGCCTAGAGTTTCATGTTGTTTTATTGCACTTTTATTATTGTTTAAAAAGTACCTAAATATTTAAAAAGTATGAGCATTTTTGTGTAAATTTCTGTGTGTATCTTTTTCATATAAACAGCAGAATATTCTACATATCTTTTTCCACTTGTATTTTTCACTTGTATCCTGGAAATCTGTCTGTAGTCTTCTTACTCCATTTTGTAGATGTACCATAGTTTATTCATATGCCCATGGTGATAGGGCTTTTTTTCAATTTTTTAGTATGACAAATAGTGCTTCATTGAATAACATTATACATTTATTTTGCTTTTTGTTTTTGTCTTTCCTGTGTGGAACCTTTGTGTGATAATATCTTAAGTAACTTGGGGTATAGATTCCTAATAGTGAGGTGGCTGGAGTATAAAGAAAATGAACATGTAATTTTTTTTTTTTCTTTTTTTGGTACCGGGGATTGAACTCATGACCTTATGCTTGCCAGGCAGGCGCTTGTGCTGCTGAGCTAAATCCCCAGCCCATGAACATGTAATTTTGATATTTTTGGTTTTCTCTACATTGGAGATGCACTGTTTATGCATTCCCCTGGCAACATAGGAGAGTGCCTTCTTCTCCACAGCTAAAGCAATGAAATACATTGTTAAGCTGTGTCTTGTGCTGATCTATTAGAGAATAAATGGTATCTCAGAATAGTTTTTATTTGGAAGTTGGAGGCTTTTAAAACTTTTCATTAAGAAGGCAAGTATATGTCTACTGAAAGAAATGTAGACAATGTATGAGTACATGAGGTGAAAATGTTCCTTAATGTCCCTCAGTTCTCATTCACTGGGTGTGACACACATTTACACCACCTACATGTACACTTTTTTCGGGATGGGGTTTGAGACTGAGTCTTGCTGTATATTTCAGGCTGGCCTGCAGTTCACTGTAGAGCCTAAGTTGGTCCTGAACTTGCAGCGATCCTCCTGCCTTAGCTTTGGAGTCCTGGATTTTCAGGTGTAATCACCATGTTTCATGTTTTTAAGAATGAGAATGCCTGCTATAAAACATCAGGTATATTCACCAGGATGGAGAACTGGGAAGCAGGAGCAGAAGAGATATGTTTATTAAAGAGCATATATCCTTTCATATCTTGAATTTTGTGATGTGTGAGTGAATTAGCAGAACTTTAAAAAAATCACCGAAAGTGAATGCTAGTGTTTACATACCCTCAGAATTGAGATTATTTGTAAGATGAGGACATTTTAAAAATTAAAGGTTATAGAGTACATTTTGGAAAATACCTTTAAAATTTGTCAGTATCTTGAGAAGTGATTTACTTTTCTGGCAACACAGGAGCCAGGTAACTGGGTCATGTGTCATATACATTGTATTTTGTTCTTTTCCTGCAGAGGATACATGGTTATGGGTGATTCTTTCAACACTTCCTTATTTAAACAAACTTTTCAAAGAGTCTTTACCAAAGATATGCACGGACAATTTAAAATGGGCTTTGGTGGGACTTTAGAAATAAAGGTAAGCAACTTGATTTATGTGGCATATGTTTGTCAAGAGATAAATTTGTATGCTTTTTCATAATTTTGATATATTATTAATTAAATCCTACATATGCTTTAACAATACTGGATATATTAATTTGTTGAGCAAGAAGGTATGTCATTAAATGTACAGCAAAGCTGTATGTGAACATTTCTGCACAATTATTAGAAAAATAGAATTATATAGGTAAAATTTTTCCCCCCTGGAGGGGTGCATTATTCCTGGAGGTACTGCAATACAAGGTTGATGCATGGAGTGGACAGAGCAAGCTCCTGTTCCATCTCCCAGCTCCAAAGATTCATTTAATATATTGTCCTCAAATAGAGTATGTGTCAAATATTAAACTGATAAGAACATTTGATCTCAGAAGATAGAGAAGAAATGGTAAAATTTCCTTTACTATGTATTTTAGGTTTAACTTTTTATGTGAGTTTTATCTTCTTAGGGCTAAATTTTTATTTTGGTACTAGAATATTTTATGGCAGAAATTATTGAACTTGAAAGTATTTTCTATCATTAGGAGGAAACTTTTCATGTTTGAAATGATATAATTTTGTGCTCATAATTGTTTTTATACAACATTATCATTAATTTTAAATTTGAATTTTTAAGAAATCCAAAGTCTAGTGTTAGGTACACATATGTTACACTTGATTTTTAAAAAAATTTATTTATTTATTTATTTATTTAATTTAAAGAGAAAAAGAAAGGACATAAAAAAACACAGAATTTCAAGAAAAAAATATACAGTAAGAAATCACTAGTTAATAGATTACATGTTGTCTTCTTAGAAACAGTTGTCCAAATTATAAAATTAAAGCATATAAAGTATACATTCATACAGTGATACTGGAGACAATTCTGTTCAATGATCCAACAAAAGCTCAGTAATATGGTTTTCCATCCTACATACTCAAACGTACCTGTGGTTATATCCCTTAGTCCACGTTCCTGTCCTCTCTTTTTTACAATAAAAATTACACTTTTTGGATTTTATTACTCCCACAGTTCTTATTACTTTTTTTGAAGAGAATAAAACCAAATGTGACTAAGCAAAACAAAGTCAGTTAGAACAAAAGGATGGGCGTAGTACATTACACTTGGTTTTGAATTTTCATATTCATCATATTATTTTGTCAAATACTTGCTGTATGTCCATTATTCTAGGAAATTACAGAGATGTCAAGCTATATCTGAGATGAAGGTCTTCTTACAGAGAACCTTAGTCTTGATAGATAAGACTTACACATGTGACAGAATGAAACAACAAAAATATAGGGGCTGATTAAAAAATACTGTATGTTTAAATAAAAGTTTAAGTGGGTGTGGTGGTATATGCCTTTAATTTTAGCACTTGGGAGGCTGAGGCAAGTTTGAGACCAGTCTGAAGTACAAAGTTTGAGACCAGTCTGAAGTACAAAGTGAGCTCAAGGCCAGCCTGAACAGCTTAGTGAGACCCTGTCTCAAAAAGACCAAAAAAAAAAAAAAAAAAAAAAAAAAAGTATCATAGTAGAAGATACTTTGTCATTAATCTTTTTCAAAATGCTCCCTGTCAAATAAATATTGAAAATGTTTGTTTCTTTTTTTTTTTTTGGTACTGGGGATCAAATGACCTAGCACTTGCCAGGCAGGTGCTTATGCCACTGAGCTAAATCCCTGGCTCATTTTCTTTTTTTTTGAGACAGGATTTCACTATGTAGTTCAGGCTGGCCTGGAGTCACTATGTAGTCCAAGCTGGTCTCGAACTCATGGTCCTTTAACCTCCCTGCCTTAACCCTGCCAAGTGCTTGGATTATAGACATGCAGCTCCCTGCCTGGCCTCTTGCCATTTTCTGAAGCAGTTCTTTCCTGACTTGACGAGCTGTGATCAAAACACGCTGCTGTCCAGTGCCATCCAGAGGAAAGGCAGGTTTGTAAGAACATTACCATGTGTCCTCATGTGCTTTATCCACTGGATTTCTGTCTTTTCCCCAAAGTCATTTTGACTTTGAATGTAAATGCTTTAAATTGATTCAGGACAGTAAAGCAGCTGTGACAGGGCAACTAAAGACATTCATGAAAGGGGAGTTCCAGAATGTCTTCAAAAAGTGGCAAGAACAAGGAGGCAAGTATGTTCAAAGTGAGGAGAAGTATTTTGAGGATGACTAATGTCAGTGTGTCTGTTACTGTAAGAAATTTTTTTGTTTTGTCTTTCTGAGACAGGGTCTCGCTATGCAGTTCAGGCTGGCCTTGAGCTCACTTTGTAGCCCAGGCTGGTCTTGAACTCGCAACAATCCTCCTGCCTCAGCCTCCCGAGTGCTGGGATTACAGGCATGAGCCACCACGCCTGGCTACTGTAAGAAATTTTCAAAAATGAAATATTCATAATATTTTTTAAACATGTCTCATAATAAAAGTGCTGTAAAAGTTTAGGGAAGAAAAATGAGTGTAGGTAGGATACAATTTTATGCTAGAATAGAGACAAAGAGGTGAGAATCAAAATGTTTGAGCGAAGTACTTGTAAGAGTGCATGGTATATACAGGAAAATAAGAGAAATGGTTAATTATGTGGGTTGGTTGTAGTTTGGAAATCGGTATATCTGCAAAAATCATTGTAGAGTTAACAAATAACCATGTATTGGATAAAATTCATCTGAAAATTGTATCTGGGTAGGTCAGGAAAACAGTATCAAATAAGAAAACTGAAGTAGGCTTCTGAGTTTTTTAGATAGAAGGTAATGTGATAGCTTAAATTTTGGGGGCTGTCGAGATCAGACAGAGACCAGTCTTGAAGACAAATTTTTCTATGGGAGGAAAAATAGAAAATGATGGCTCAAGTTTTGGATTAGGATGTGTGAATTTTGGGTATAATATGAGTTTGAATATAGGATGGTATTTTTCCAAGTGGGTATCTTCTATGGACTGATGGAATTAGAAGATTAAAGTTAATTTAGGGCTGGATTTTAAATTTTGGAGTTATCAACAAAGAAATAGTGACTAATTACTTTTAAATGTTACTATATTTTCTTTGAATTTTAAATATGGAAGAATATTTTATATCCTTAAATACTTAAAGTTGAATGTTTGACCTTGCCTCTGAGGAAACCAAATGTGCTATATTTTTATTTTGCAGACCTCGAGGGAGATAAAGATTTCAGGAGCTATTGGACCTTGTGTGTCTCTCAATTCTAAAGGACCATGTGTGTCTGAAAACGTAAGTTACTCTTATTTTAGAAAGAAAGCATAGTAAATTCTTGGGACAGCACCAACAAAGAGCCTCCAGATTATTGTGTGGGCTCTTTTTTGTGGGGTAGCTTCAACTTAAGGATTGCTACAAGTCTTTTGTGTTTTATACTTGTTATTCCTTTTGCTCCAATGTGCATTAAAACATTTTCGTGATTTGGCGTATGATTTTCTGAAAATCATACTTCCAAATGGATTTTTGTTACCAGAATTTCCAACGAAATAACCAAATTAGTTAGGTTTAAGTTTCAATTTCTTTTCTCTTTATCCCATTTGGCGGAGGTGTAATGCATTCCAGAATTGTAGAATTGTGTTGCAGTATGAATTGTAGCATATCACTGCAGAGAGCACAATGGGACATTTGACACAAAATGTGTAATCAGCTCTAAAAATGACAGTTACAATATTGATTTTAAGCAGTTTGTATTGTAAAGAGCTGTACTGAATTTTTCAGTGTTGTACTCAGTAATAGTTACCATAACTCTGACCCTGAGGACCTATTGATATGTGCATATATGACATATTAGAGCAATTTCTCTTTGCACAGATCAAACACTTGGGTATAAAGCTAATGTTAGAAGTCGGGCTGGTAGCACACACCTATAACTCTAGCTACCAGGAGCCTGAGGCAGGAGAAATCACAAATCTGGAGGTACCCTAGGCAATTTAGCAAGATTCTGTCTCAAAAAATAAAAAGGCTGGAGATGCAGCACAGTGGTTGAGTGCTTGCCTGGCATGTGCAAGGCCCTGAGGTTAATCTCAGTGTGCCAACTCTGTAGTAATGTTATTGTGAACACTGCATTAAATAGCCTAAACTTTTTTTTGGACTTTAATTGAATTATTTATTAGTGATGAATGGCATAGGCTACAATATGAAGACCTAGTATCAATACTTACTTTGTAATTTACTTAAAAAAATTTGTATTACCGTAAAGTTTTGTTATGAAAAATTGTATAGTTTTATTTTATGATATGTCATGTGATTTTAAGAAATTTTAAGCTTTGAAAACATTCATTGAGTTAGTTTGAAACTTGAAAATGTTTCTCTCACTGAGCGTTGTCTTTCTGCTTAATGGTTATTATACTAATAATTAAGTGCCTTGGTTTTCAAGCCTACTATATTTTATTTTGACAGGAGATAGGAACAGGTGGCACTTGTCAGTGGAAGATATGTGGGCTCAGTCCTGCTACAACCCTAGCCATATATTTTGAGGTTGTTAACCAGGTGAGACTTTCCTTGCTTGAATATTAAAATGTAAGCAAACATTTAATTTAGGCTATAAATATTTCATATGAATTTTAGGATTGTGTTTTCTAGTTTTGTGAAGAATGTGTATTTCAACAGGGATTGCAGTGAATCTGTAGATTGCTTTGGGCAGTGTAGACATTTTAGCGATGCTGATTGTTCTAATCCATGAACACAGATGTCTTTTTTTTTTTACTTGTGTTTTTTTTTTTTAACCAGTGTTTTATTATTTTTGTTGTAGAGATCTTTCATCTCTTTAAATTTACTCATAGGCATTTTGTTTGCAGCTATTGTAAATGGGGTTGCCTTCTTGATTTGTATTTCTTTTTTTGATTTTGATACTTCTAGGGATTCTGTCCAGGGCTTTGGTCATGCTAGGAAAGCCCTCCATGACTGAGCAGTGCACCTCCAACCCTCGATGCCTTACTTCACATGATTTGCTCTTCGTGTATAGCAACAATACTGATGTTTTTTGTGTAGATCTCACTATGTAGCCCAAGCTGGCCTTGAATTTATGGTCATCCTTCTGTCTCAGTTTCTTGAGGGCTGGGATTACAGATGTGCATGATATTTTTGTGTTTTTCTTTTTGAGGTGCTAGGAATGGAACATAGGGACTTGCATATGCTCGACAAGTTATCTACTGCTGAGCTGTATTCCCAGCATTTTGTGTTGCTTTTGTATCTTGCAACATTACTGAATTTGTTTATTAGTTCTAATAGTTTTTTGATGGAATGGTTGGAGTTTTCTATGTAGAGGGAAGCTCATGTCATTTGCAAACAGTAACAATTTATTTCTTTTTCTTGCCTGAGTGCTCTGGCTAGGACTTCTAGTATTGTGTTGTGTAGAAATGGTGAAAATGGGCATCTTGTCTTATTGTGAGAAAACTTTCAGCTTTCCCCCATTCAGTGTAATGTTAGCTATAGTGTGGTTGTGTATGGCTGTTATTATGTTAAGGTTCATTCTGTGCCTAATTTGTTCATCCCTTTTATTATAGAGGGATATAGAATTCTATCAATTGCCTTGTCTACATTCATTGATATGTGATTTTTGTTCTATGTTCTCTTGCTATGTTTTATCATTTTTATTCATCTGCTTGTGTTGAACCAGTACATGCAGTGCTGGGAGAATCCCATGAGGAAAGAATCTTTTTGAGATGCTGTTGGTTTGCTAGTCTTTTGTTGATTTTTTTCACCTGTGTTTTTCAGGAATATTGATTTGTAGTTTTCTGTTTTTGTTTTGTCCTTGAGTATCAAGGTTTAATGCTTGTCTGATAGAATGAGTTTGGAAGAATTCCCTCCTCTTCAGTTTTTTTTTTTTTTTTTAGTTACTTGAGAAGACCTATAGTATTTAAATATTTGATAGAGTTTAACAGTGAAAGTATGTGACCTTGGGTTTTTCTTTGATGGGAGACTTTAAAGTTTAGAGTAAATCTATTCATGTTAGAAAATATATATCCATGATTATAGACAGCAGCATAGAGTTTGCTTAGTTTTTATTGCTTTGTTTTTACATAGCATAATGCTCCCATTCCTCAAGGAGGTCGTGGTGCAATCCAGTTTGTGACTCAGTATCAGCATTCCAGTGGGCAGAGGCGCATCCGTGTGACCACCATTGCTAGGAAGTAAGTTGTGTTGGTTAAAGATTTAATTTACATGTCAAAACTATTGTAGGTCCTGCTTTGGCATTCATTCCTGTTTTGGTTGACATCTGTGACTAGAAGGTGAACAATGACCCAGTTTATCTGTTAGGATATTCATTGATAAAAACAGTGAGGGCACTGGGCGTGGTGGTGCCCGCCTGTATCCCAGCACTCCAGAGGCTGAGGCAGGAGGATTCCCACCTGTTTGAGGCTAGTCTGGACTACATAGTATAAGCCAGTCTCAATACCAAAAAGTAAAAAAGGAGGAAAAGAAAAGAAAAATTTATTTACTTCATTCACGTGAGAAAATTGAGCATTTTCCTTTTATATGAAATTCACTATCTGTATATACTTAATGATACAGTGTAGTTTACTTTTCAAATAATGATATTTTCATTCAGTTCATTTGTCTTTATCCAGCTTTTGCTTTGTGGACTGTGTACTGCTAGGAGAGGTTACAAATTCACAAGGCTTGAACATACTTGGTCTGCCAGGCGATGGCACACTGTAGACCAGTGTTTTCTGCTCCTTTATTACTTCATCAGGCTGAGATACTTCATAGTTGTCAAACATCTGGAAAACATCTAAACTTTGTCAAATGAAAGAAAATTAAAGATTGAGGAAGAAGGGAGAAGAATTTTAAAGATGTTACTACCTAAATTTCCTTTAGATCGCTGTTACATGTAAAATTGGTTCAGTATTTATTTTCTGAAAGTCCGTAAGTATTGCTAGTCATACTCAAAGTGAGGTAGTTTATAATTAGGATCAACTGAGTATTACAAAACTGTGTTTTTGAAATATTAAACAAAAACTATTGTTGGGTCTGCCCAGCAGTAGTTTGGACTGGCTTTATAGAACATGTAAATTTAATAAATTATTATTTTATGCATAATATCAAGTTAATCCCTCAGATAAAATCTTAACTTTTGATGGATTTTAATAAATGTGTTAACAGAATAAAGAATACAAAGTAATTTATGCTTTTTATCACTGATGATTGAATTAAAGACTAATGAGAAAGAAATTCTGTTTCACTAATTTTTTAGTTTAATAAATGAAACTTAGGCTGAGTGAAAACCTTTATTTTTGTATTTCCATTGTTCTGCTTTTATAAAATGGAAGGAATTGAATTCTGAAGTCTGATAGAGACTTGTGTATCTCTGCATGCATGCACACACATATATACACAGTAAAAAATTTATACACACTTCAGTAGTTTGGTGTCTGAAAGCTAATGGCACCACTCTGAGCACTTGTTGTAATTATATAAGCCAAAGATAACTTGTATTCATCTCATGATAGCTCAGTGAACTTTGCATTAAAATACTTATACAAGTTTTTCTTTTCTTGATATGTAAATTTTTGGGGACAGACTCTGTTCTGTTGGTTTGCTTGTCAAAATCTTGATGCTTTAAGGAATCTGGTGGGAGATGTACCTGTATAAGTACCTTACTAGAGAAAGATTCATAGGTTTAGTTGTATTCTGAAAAATAGCTAATCTTGTGATGAAGTAGTTATTAGTGATTTTAAAACATTCTAATTTGTCTAGGTGATACTGGAATTTTGAACTATTGAAATAGTTTTCTGTGTATTTTAAATTTAAATCTGTATGGTAGCCAATTACGATACTGTGAATATTAGCAACACTTTTTTGCTTTCTTGTTTCTTTAGCTGGGCAGATGCTCAAACTCAAATCCAAAACATTGCAGCATCCTTTGACCAGGAGGCAGCTGCCATTCTAATGGCCCGGCTGGCAATATATAGAGCGGAAACAGAGGAAGGGCCAGATGTACTTAGATGGCTGGACAGACAGCTCATTCGGCTAGTAAGTAAACACTGTGCTTTTCTAAGTCTCTATGCTTTCATTTGCCCTAAGTGTTCACTGTGGAATACCTCTTTTGAAGTACTTACAGCATACCTGAAATACTATATGAGGGACTCCTGTTCAGATTACTGACATAACAGCATAGTAATGAATAGAATTCAGTGGTTACTGCCAGTGAACTGGAATGCCTTTTTTCCTTAAAATAAAAGAATGGCAAATACATAACTTATTTTTCTATTTATTTTGGCTGGTACAAAATTAATTCAGAATTTAATTCTTTATTGCTGTGGCAGTTCTTAGTGCTTTTTGGTGCTTTTCTTTATTTTCCTCTTTCTCCTTCTTTTCTTTTTTTATTTTTTATTTTATTTTTTAAATTTTAATTTGAAAGTAGTAAAAATGCAACAGCACAAGACAGAACAAAACCAATTGAGACAATGCAGTGAAATTGGTACAGGATTTCACAGTAGGATACTGGGATAGTAGTAATAGGTACTATAGTACATCATGTTAACTTCACAATAGTTGTCGAGTCAATTAGGTATAGCAAAATCAAACCAAAAATAGGGCATTATAAAACCAATTGAGAATACTGAATAGAGCAAAAGAAACATCACAAAACAAAACAGTGAAAACAACCTTTACCTTCAAACAGAAGAGAGAAGGAAATCCCCCATATTTGCTATACTGCATATGGTCATCCTCCCAAGAGAAGCTGAGATGTCTAGCCCCCCCCAGCTATGGAGGGGGTGCGCAGGAAGGGTACTTGATTTTCAGCCTGTGTGGCAGTAGGCTCACAGGTAATGGTTCTCCTCCAGGCCCATGCCACAGGCGCTTACCAAGAGGGTGGGTGAATAAGCTGCCTGAGTCTCACCACGGCTGGATCTCAGGAGTTCTGCTTTTCCTCCTGGCCCTTGCCGTAGGCGCTTATCAAGAGGGTGGATGAATAAGCTGCCTGAGTCCCACCATGGCTGGATCTCCTCCTTTTTAAAAATATATATTTTTTATTTTAAAGGGAATAAAATGAAACAAAACAGTGATAAGACAGTAGGAAATCTACAACAGTTACCATATTGCATATTGTTATCTTCTAAATAGTTGCGCAGACTATTGGCTTTAGACTTACAAAGTCAATCAAACAATACCGTTCCTCCAAAATCAGCTGGTAGCTTATAGGGGGTGGGTTCTTCTTTTCTGCCTGGCCTGTGGACAGCTGGCTTACGGTAGGGGAGGTGATGGTGGTGGTGCATAGCTTCCTTCTGGTTCTCCCTGGCCTGCATGGCTGCTGCTGACTCATGGGGTGGGCATAGCTCATTACTTCAGAGGCAGTGGTGTATCCGAGTTTGCAAAGGAGGAAGCTGACAGAAGTGCTGACATGCGCTAGGCGTTTTCCTTTTTTTATGAGGGATGGGCTGAGAATACAAAGAACATGACAGCTTGCTTTCAGGATTCTATAAACTACCAAAACTAATCCCAGGAACAACTGAATGTCAGTGATGTGTGATGAGGGCCACACAGACAAGATGGACAAGGCACAGAGCCTTGGAAATTTAAAAAGAAGAGGCAAGAAGGATGCAGTAGGGAGCTCTGGGTCTGCGCACAGTCAGGGAAAGGGTTGAGGTGCTCACACAACCTCTGAGCTGGGAAGGATGCTGAAAAGCAGGGGCAAGACAGCAGGGGAGGTGAGTGAGGTCTCTCCTTCCTTCTTTCCATCCTTCCTCTTTGTTTTATTGTCCTAGTGATGGAACCCAGCACCACATGTAATTTTTTATTGCTGTGGTTTTAGTTTCCTAGTTTTTATTTCAGTGGAATGTGACCTTATCTCAAATAACCAAACAAAAAATTATTGATGTATAAAAATTATACATATCAAAATATAAATAAGTTTGATCATTTGCATCTAGATTGCCAAATATATACTAGTAAAAGTATCACTACTGTTGATGTAATGTTTGTGTGCATGCTGTCAAGAATTGAACTCGGGACCTTAGCACCGAACTACACCCCCAGCCCTTTAATTTTTTTTTTTTTTTTTTAATTTTGAGACAGGATCTCCCAAAGTTGCTGCATTGCCAGACTAAGTTTGAGGGTGTAGTCTTCCTGTCTCAGCCTCCCAGAGTGCTGGGATTACAAGCACGAGCTATGATAAGCAGGCTTTTCACTTGAGTTTTTGACAGTCAGGGACCATGATGTTTTATGATCTAGAGGGCTTTTTGTAATCTCATTTCTTTTTGTTGTTGTTTTCAGGGGATTGATGCAAGGGGTGCTCCGCAACTGAGCTGTACCTGCAATTCTTTTTACTTTCATTTCTGAGCTGTCTCACTATGTTACCCAGGCAGAATCTGAACTTGCAGTCCTCCTGCCGGAGCTTCTCTAAATGCTATGATTACAGGGCATGGGACACTGTACCTAGCTTTAAACTTAGACACAAAGGCTGCATTTTTACTTCACAAGCTATAGGATTCTTAGCATGCCTTTAATGTTCTTGAAAGTACTTCTTTTCATTTAAAACACTGTTTTAGTTACTTTTCTCATTGCTGAGGCAAAATACCCAATATCCAAGTTTGTGGAGGTTTCAGTCCATAATTGCCTGGCTCTGAAGCAGTGGGATGGCAGAGGGGCATCACAGGGGAGCAGCAGTTCATGGGGGCAGTAGCAAAGCAAGCAAGAGACCTTCACTAGGATCTTTCTGACCCTTTTACATTGTATCTAGGCTTCTGGGATTAGGGCAGTGCCAAACCAATCAGTGGACTGATTCAGTAATCACTCAGCTTTAATCCTAGCATCACACACTCTAGATTTGGCCACCTCTGAAAAGCCCCACCTATGACTACCTGAGGCTTTGGAGGGGCATTTAGACACAACCATAACACACCCCTTTGAAAACTCATGGAATGTAAGAGAGGGTTGTTTTTTAAGCTATGGAATGGTTGATTTTTTGTTTCATTTAGTTTTATTAAATAAGTACCTCAGAGTGAACTAGGCTTTGTTTAGTAAAATTAATCATTTTTGTAGCATTACTCAGGACTTATTTTTTTCCCATTTCATCTCTGAGCATTTTTCATACAAGTATCTTTCTATGAAGCAGTATTACAATATTATTAGTGTATCATTTTAGCGAGAGAGATTTAACCTTTCATAGGATCAGCCATCAGTGGGATATCCTCAGTACATCCTCCGCACATTGCTTCCAAAGTAGACTTGTAGTTTTCTAGATAAGAAAGGTATTTTGACCTTTGCTTGTTAGGGACAACAAAAAAGTTTCTCTTGGTAGCAGAAGTTTTCTTAATATTTCATTGTTATTTAAAAATCTGATATGACATCTGTGGCCCTACTATTTCTTTTTTATTTTTATTTTTGTCTTTTTCCTTTTTATCGGTACCGGGGATCGAACCCACGACTGCCTGCTTGCAACGCAGGTGCTTATGCCGCTAGGCTAAATCCCCAGCCCCCAATTTCTTTAGCCTGAATAGGGAAGCTATTACTACTTTTTAAGTCTTTACACAAACCTCAGCATTATACAGCGTGTCATCATTGCTTTGACATACTACACTGGTTTAAAGTGGAACCCTTTTTTTTTGTTTTTTCTGGGATTTGAATTGGGGGCCTTGTGATGCCACCTCCCTGTCTTCTAAACTGGGACCATTTGATATCCCACATTGCATTTTGCCCTATTACTTTACTTACTATAATTTTACATGTTGGCCTTCATAGGTTCTCACCAACCATGTAAAGTTTCCTTTTCTGGGTAGTAAGTTGTACTCTTTTGGTTTTTTTTTGAGTTGGGATCTCACTACTTAGCCCAGAACTCATTGTCATCCTCCTTCCTCAGCCTCTTGAGTGCTGCGATTGTAGATGTGCCCCATCACACCCAACAGTAAATTGTATTAAGTAGCTTACTTCCTGAACCTTCTCATTGAAAGTGACTTTATCTTAACAAATGCTTTGAGATTCTAAAAGCTGTTTGAAGTACTCAGTACTTTTACTTGTGTTTACTTGTATCTATGATTTATAGTAAAGTGCTTTTTCCATTTTGCTAGAGCTATTATATTTGTGGATTGTCACGTATGACACAAAATCGAATAGTACAATCTGTATTACCAGCTCACATAAAACTCTTTAAGTACTTTTTCTGTGTCCCTTATTGTATGAGTGCAGTGAAATGACTCTGAAAATTTTAAGTGTTTAAAATCACAGTAGGTATAGGCTATCTATTCACACACTTTAACTTCAAAAATTGCAACATTGTTTGACATATTTGTAAAACACAAACATTAATAAAATATAAAACAGAAGTGCCTAGTAAATAACTAAATGAGACAATTGCAAAACTTCAGTTTGCATAACCTACATTTTTCAGTGTAGACAAGAGTTGCAAAGCACTTGGGTCAGAGGGTAGATGAGTTGTGGGATAATGAAAATTTAACCTGTGATCATCCAGGGGACCTTATCTGTTACCACAGCCAGATGGTGGCAGGACAAGAAGGTCAGTGGAGGTCATTTGATAGAGTGAGGCTAGAGCTACTTGACCCTTGTCCTGCTTCCTCGGTAAATTGTCATCAGTTCTGTGCCTTCTCCTTCTGGGCCCAAGACTGAGAATGGAGTTATCCAAAGAAATGTAGCTGTATTAGCCAGCTTTTTGAGACAATTGATTTTAAAGAAAAAAGGTATATTTCAGCTCATGGTTTTGTTGCATGATCATTGGCCCTGTTGCTTTAGGTTCTTGGTGAGGAATTGTATCCACTATGGCATGGAGAGTATGGTGGAACAGAGCTGCTGGTCTCATGGCTAAGAATTAGAGGGGAAAAGATGGGGTTCCCATGGTCCCCTTCAAAGGCATGACATCAGGGATTGGCAGACCATTCAGTAGGCCCATATCTTAGACTTTCCAACACATTTCATTGCACCATAGTCTGGGGACCAAGCCTTGGAAGGATGTTGATGATCCAAACTACAAGACGGGGGCTGTAGCTCAGTGAGAAGGCCCTGGGTTCAGGCTCTAGTACTAAAAAAAAACAAAGAAAAAAAAAGATGAAGTAGAGTAGGACAAAAAATGAGCGGAGGTCACGAACAAGGAGATAAGAAGGCAAGTGATTATTGAATGTAATAAAGAGTTACCACTCTTGCTTAAAGAGAACAAGACAGTTTTATCTGGTTTACAGTGGTAAGAAGAATAACATGGTAAGTGCTAGAGCTGGCCAGGATTCAGGGAAATGTACAGCTTCTTAGTTTGAAAATTTGGTGTGTGAATCTGCACAGTGTTTATAAACATCTCTATGCCCAAACTTGTAGGAGGAAGTTGTTGACAACATCAAAGACTTTCCTTCCTTCCTTTCTTTTCTTTTCTTTTTCTTTTTCTTTTTCTTTTTCTTTTTCTTTCTTCCTTTCTTTCTTTTTGTGGTGTGGGGGATTGAACTCAGGGCCTTGCAGAATTTATCCTAATGATTCAATAGGATAGATATAGTTGTTAATAATGAGGGATTGATGGAAATAATTATGGTATATATCAGGATAGCAGAATGCTAGTCAAGCATTAAAAATGACATAGAGTATTTAATGGCATCAAAAATTTTTTCCAGGGAAAATAAAAATTTTGCACATAAGTATTAGCTGGGCCTCCTGGTGCATACCTGTGATATCAGCTACTTGGAGGCTGGGATGGAAGGATCGTAAGTTTGAAGCCAGCCTGGGTAACATAATAAGACTTTGTTTTAAAAAAAAAGAAAGAAAAAAAGAAAGAAAAAAAGAAAAAAAAGTATCAGATACTTCCTACAGTGGGAAGTAGCCTTTTTGAAATCCCAAGTTACCCAACATAAATATTAGGCTGGCTTTGAACTCACTGTGTGGGTCAGGTTAGCCTTGAACTTGCAGCAGTCCTCTGCCTCAGCCTCCGGAGTGCTAGGATTATAGTGAGGCACTACCATGTCTGTCTTCCTGGTGTATTTATTTTGACAGAATTTTGGGCATATTTTTAAGATGTATGTAGTTAATGTAATGGGATTGATGGTTCTAAGTTGTATCTGTCATATTGTCTTTTTTACAAAATATTTTCAATATATTTAATATTCTAAGTCTCTTCCAAGCACTGTCTAAATCAGTGTTGTCCAGAATTGCATAGAACTCTGTTATTTGCACTGTCCATTGCAGAACTGCTACCCACATGTAGCTGTTGAGCCCTTGAAATAGGCTAGTGCAGCAGACAAACTGAATTTTAATTCTTAATTAATTTTAATTGCCACATGTAGCTAGCTAGTGGTTATCATTGGGCAGTGAAGATTATTTTAATTCATAAATTTCACAAGTGAGATACTAGGGGAACATTGGAGACAACACCACTCTTATTCTCTGGTCTGTGGTGTGTGTTTTGAGGTTACCTCTGTAACTCTAGCTTTCTATCTTTATGTAACTGTGATTCTGAAATGACTTTTCCTACAGGCCAATAATGAGGTCACACCAGCTGTGCCTTGTTATGGTTGTGTCTAGAGGTCTCCCCAAAGCCTGATACAGTCCCAAGTGGGGCTTTTTGAGAGGTGGCTTAATCTTAAGTATGCGGTTGATTTAAGGTGCAGTGCTAGGATTAAGGGTGCTGGGATGAAGGGTGGGTGACTACTGACTCAATCCACTGGTTGGTTTAACACCCTTCTAAACCCCGTAGCCTGGATACAATAAAAGAACAGACAGGGGCTTGTCTTGTCTTTTGCTTGCTTTGCTACTTTCTACTTGCTGTGAACTATTTCTCATCTTATAAACCCTTTCTGCCATGCCACCTTCCCTTGGAGCCAGCTGACTGTGGACTGAAACCTCACAAACTGTGAACGAAATAAAACTTTTTTCTCTTAAGTTTGGGCATCTGGTATTTTATTTTATTTTATTATTATTTTTAAAAATTTTATTTAAGGAGAAAAAGAAAAAAAAAAAGCAGAGAAAGGGTACAAGTTATACAGATTTACAGAAAAAAATAAACAGTAGGAAATCGCTAGTTAATGGATTACATATTGTCATCTTAGAAATAATTGTTCAAGTTACAAAATTAAAGCTTATAAAGTGGACATTCCAACAGTGAGACTGCAAACAGTTCTGTTCAATGATCCAACAAAACTCAGTAGTATCATTATCTTATACACTTAAATATACATGCAGTTATATCGTTTAGAGCACTTTCTTTTCCTCTCTTTTGTACAATGACAATTACACATTTTGGGATTTGTTGCTCCCACAGTTCTTATTACTTTTTTGGAAGAGAGTAGAACCAAATGTGACATAACAGAACAGAGTCAGTCAAATCAAAAGGGTGCACATAATAGATAATGTAAAAGCATAATACAAGGTGATCAACAGTGGTTACCATGATGCCTCCCGCTATCTCTAATAGAATTGCCTATATCATCAGTTATAATAAAATTGAACAAAACAGTAAAGAACAAAACCAACAAAACCAAAACATTGGAGACATTATAGGTCTTCAAAAGTAGATAATAGTCAACCAGAATAGGCATCATAATGAATCCCACTATCTTCACAGCTGTTGCCTAAACTTTCGAACCTGGTACTATCAAGCAAAACAGAATAGAGGGACATCAGTCAAAACAAGATGGTGAGAGCAATACAGGGCTTTAAATCAAGATAATGGAAAGTCAAAGTGGGTTACTATAATATATCCTGCTATTTTTTTATTTATTTTTCCCTTAATTAAAAGGATAAAAATAAAAAAGTAAATAATGAAATGGAGATTGAGATAAAAGAGGGCATAACAGCAAAACAGCACAGATCAAAACATAACCATTTAAGCAAAATAGTGTTTCACAACAAGATAATCCCGACATAAAAGTAGTTACCATATTGTCTCTTTCCTTGAAATCTTTGAGTATAACTTCGTATACTGTAGCATCAAATATATCAAAACAATGTAAAACCATTTAAGAGAATGACAGTGTTACAGGGTATTTAGAATCAACTAACAGAAAATGAACAATGGTTTCTGTATAATCTCCTTGTCTATAAAAATTTTTGCTTATACTATCCTATATAATAACATCCAATAAGATTCCACCTGTTTAGACCAATGGAGACAGAAGAACAAAAGCTTGATGAGACTTCAAACAAGATGATACTAAATCAGTATTACCTATTAAGATGTCATTTTTCTCCAAAATAGCTGTTCCTGTCATCCAGTCTTCTCTGCCTCATTTCTGTTGAGCTCTTTTTCTGTCATTAGTTGTCAGTTTGTCTTCTTTATTTTGTTTTCTGCTCCATTCATGTGGCCTCTCTGCCGCTATTTCTGGATTCTTCGTATTTTTCTTTTTTAGAATATCCTGCAGTATTCTCTGTAGAGTTGAATTGGTGGTTGCATATTCCCCTAGTACCTCTTTATCCTGTTTTTCCATCAATTTCCCGGGATAGTTGTGCAGGATATATCAATCTTGGCTGTTTTTCCATCAATTTCCCGGGATAGTTGTGCAGGATATATCAATCTTGGCTGTTTTTCCATCAATTTCCAGGGATAGTTGTGCAGGATATATCAATCTTGGCTGGAGATTTATCTGGTATTTTAACACATCAAGGAGAAAAGTAACTAAGACTTGCCCTTTTGTGTTCTCTATAAGGCACAGGTAAGTACTTAAATGATACAGATGGACCTGGAAGTCAGGCAGTACCTGTAGCAGGGACCCTTTTGCCAATTTCATTTCATTTATTTATTTATTTATGTATTTATTTTGGTATTGGGGATTGGACTCACGACCATGCACTTGTAAAGATGCTCATGCTGCTGAGCTTAATCCTCAGCCTCCTTTATTTGATATTTTTGCACTCTGCTCATTCAAGTACTCTGATATACATTGCTGGGAAATACTGTACATGAGTACTCTTTTTTGTTCAAGAGCAGGTAAGAGTAGCTAACATTCAATAATTGCTTCAGTAAATGGCTGTCATTGTGCTAGGCAGATTCTCTTGTACATTTTCTCAATTCTCTTGGTGCCTTTTGTCATTTTATTGAGAGGGTCTGCTTCTCTGTTGCCAGCGTGTGGCACTCTTACTGTATTTTCTTCTACTTTCTCTTTTTTTTCCCAGATTGCCCATGGATCACCCAATTTTCTTTTCTCTCTCTTTGTTTTTTTGGTATTTCTGGTGTATCAAATTTTATACCAGCAACCTTATTTTGTACCTGCTGTGGTACTTTCATATCTTCCATTCATTTGTTAAAATATCTTTTTGGCTAAAGTCTTAGGGAGCTCTTGTTAAGCTTTTTTGGTTACCATCTAGGAATTCTTTTTTTCTATTAGAGTACTTACTTTCTATATATAGTGTTCTAAAGGGAATACCTTAATGACACATTTTGTTTCATTTAGTGTCAGAAGTTTGGAGAATATCACAAAGATGATCCAAGTTCCTTCAGATTTTCAGAAACTTTCTCACTTTATCCACAGGTAAGTAGAAAAAGGTCCCTATTATTTTCTTGTGTTGCCAGTAGCATTGGAAATCATCTTTCCTGTTATTTATATTTTATTCATTTGATGGGATCTATTTTACTGAGTTATTCTTTTGGTTATGTAAATTCAGGGATGGCTTTGACGTTTGTACTGTCAGGACACAGGAAAAAGTATTTTCATGCTGGCCTTTTTATAATTTGTCATTTATTTGTGGTGAATAGATACTTACTCTGAAACGTTATCATGAGTACTCTTAGGTGTAAGGCTAATTAGCTTTTCATTTTTTCCTTTTCAATCACCTTTGATTTTTTTTCTTGTCATAGAATTATATTTTTAAGCAGTCGATAAATATCATAAACAAGATTCCTTTCTGGGGAAAACACTTTCAGATATTCTCATAACTTGTTTTCTTGCTAAGACTTTACATTAGAATTTCAGAGATCTGGGCATCTGCCCTTTACCCTTCTACTGGAGATGTCACACAGGGGACCTAAAAACAACGTTTTGTACTTTTTTTGTAGATGTTATATTCTAAGCCTGATTAATTTATAAAAGATGGTATAGGTTAAGGAAAATCTTCATCTCTAAAATATTTACCTAAACATTTGTGCATTAGACATTCCTGTGAGTAAGCAGGAGTGACTGGAGTAGTAGGGAGAAGGGGCTGTCACTGTGAAGGAGGCGGGATGGGGACCTCCGCGCACTCTCCGGCGTGCCGCAGCAGAGGGCTGCGAGTGGGTCCCCAGGCAGAGCAGCGGAGACCTGCGGGCTGCAGGGGTGAAGGTGTAGAAGTGACTAAGGACAGGAGCGGTATGTTGGGGTGGATTCTGTGGATTTTATCAAAGAGCCAGTGTAGCGCTCCTGTAGACCTCCTTTTCCCTCTTTCTGATCTGTTTTATTTGAAGAGTGGGCTCGGGGGAGAAAGTGAAAGGAGAAATAAAAGTTGAGACTATTTCTTAGGGATATAAAAAACCTAAACATTAATTAATAATATGGACTTATGTATTTATGTCTTTTTAAAAAACAAATGACCCTTTATAGCACAATTTTTTGAAAGCCATACCAAAAGTAGGAAATTTATTGATCTATTTTTATAGCCTTTTGATAGTAGTACTGAATTTTGATTAAAATGCACAGAGGAGCTGGGTAGGAGCTCAGTGATTGAGTGCTCACCTAGCATATTCTATCCCCTGAATTTTTTGAGGGGGAAACGATCCCAGAGATATGGTTATAGAGAGTTGAGAAATAAAAATAGAGAATACTGATAATACTGATAACATACCCCCTGGCATTGATCTCTGAATAACTTAGATTAGAGCAACAAGTTTTTGTCCCTATTTTTTTTTTCTTTTCGAATTTACCTTTGTTTTTTCTTGTCATAGAATTATTATATTTTTAAGCAGCTGATAAATATCATGAACAAGGTTCCTTTCTGGGAACTTTCAAATTTTCTTGGAACTTTTGAGTATTCTTTTATCTTTTTTCATGGTATTAATATGTAGCTGTAATCAAATGCTTTTGTTAATAGTAGATTCCTATAGCAATATTGATATAGGGGAATGAAACTTACTAGCTATGATATGTCTGGTCTGAGTTTGTGTTCTTTAAAATCAAAGAATGAGGGGGCTGGGGATTTAGCTCAGCGGCATAAGTACCTGCCTTGCAAGCAGGCGGTGGTGAGTTCGATCCCCGGTACCGGAAAAAAGAAAAAAAAAAAAAATCAAAGAATGAATTTTAGCAACAGTGGAGGTTAAGAGCAGAATATATTTATTGAGAGAAAGAAAGCTTCTGTCTGAGATACAGAAGGGGTCCTGAGTGAGTTACTAAAGACTCTGTCTTTTTAGGGACTTTTGTAGAGCAAAACTGCAAGGTGAGATGGGTCCAAGATGGGGAAAAGCATGGGAATTCACAAGGTGAGGTGGACAGAACTATGGTCAACCAGTAAGGTTAACTGCTCAGGTAAAATTAATTTGGGACAAATGAGGAAGCGAGTCGCATAGCAAGTGGCATGCTTAAAGAGCAGTGACTTTCCCAGTAGATGGTTGGGATGGTAACTCCTGGCTTTTTCAGGGTATTAGAACCTATTTAGGATATCAATCCTGGGTGCATTTGTTTGATCTTTTGTCCTGAGGCCTGGCCCATGGTAGGAAGTGTCTATCTCCCCCATAGTTGCAAGGTATCTGGGCTTCTGTGCTGGCTCCTTCCAGGACCTAGCCCTGTCTGACTGCCTATAATATTTCTGTTTAACTCAGATGTCTGTAACAATATTGAAATCAATAAAAACTGTCATACATGCTTTATCTTGCAGTTTATGTTTCATTTAAGAAGGTCTCCTTTCTTGCAAGTTTTTAACAACAGTCCGGATGAGAGTTCCTACTATCGTCACCATTTTATGCGTCAAGATCTAACCCAGTCTCTAATCATGATTCAGCCTATTTTATACGCATATTCTTTTAGCGGACCACCAGAGGTAAGAGAAGCAGGAAAAAGATTGACTGGTCTTGTTACTGTTTGAATAGCAGTAAGAAAGCAGAAGTAACTGAGTTCCTTTTGGTAATATAGTTGTAGAATTTAAGAATTTATTGAATGAGTAGTTACTTAAGCTATTCATGTATTCACTTATATTGAGTACTTTTTAATAGTAGTTTTCATATTATATTAGGACATCACTAAAATAATCCTAAAATATGGTAGGAGAGAATTCTAGATTATTTTGTCTAGTTATTTGGCCTATCAAATTTTCTAGCTATTTGTTCTATCAAATATGTGATTATTCTTTATGCTCTAAATGTCCAGATGTGGTTATGATTCTATTGTATATGGCTTATTTCAGAGTTTAGTGTCTGATAGTTACAACAACTTGTCTAAATAAAGACTCTTGTTTTAACATAACCTCATTTTCCTTTGATCCTTTGAGACTGTAAAATATAGTTGATTTGAAGACATATATACATAAGAATGAGGAAGTCATCCACTTAATTTTTTTAGCAAACTATCAAACTATCATACTTTAACCTGTTATCAAATGAGCTGTTTTCCTTTCTATACCTTAAATTGTTTTCCCACTTACAAGTATATAATGATTTCATTTGAAAGTAAATTTGTGTAAAGGACCAGTATACTATAAAGAGAATATTTGTAACATTGATTAATGGACCCTTATGATTTTTAATTTTGTTGTTGATTTTTTGAGACAGGGTATCACTTTGTAATTCAGGCTGGCCTTGAACTCACTGTGCAGTGCAGGCTGGCCTTGAACATGTGGTGATCCTCCTGCCTCAGCTTCTTGAGTGCTAGGGTTATTTATAGACATGTGCCATCATGCCAGGCTCTACCTTTGCTCATAAAATAGTGGATACAATGTCTTACTTTGCTTTTGCATGTTTTTTTTTTTAATAATCTGCCAAATATTTGCTACTTTTTTAGGAAACTTTTTTAATATATTGGTTTTGTAACTGTTTGAATCAGGACAATAAGTTTTATATAGAATTTTGTTCTTATTTCAGAGTAATGTATGTAAATTGTAGACATCTGGAAAAAAATGTAGACTAGTATTAAGAAGAAAATTGGAATCCCATTACCCCAAGTCTTTGCTCCTATCAAATTTAAACCATTCCTTTTTTTTTTTTTTGATTTGGTACTGGGAATTGAACTCGACCTTGTGCTTGCCAGGCAGGCATCTGTGCCACTGAGCTAGGTCTCCAGTCCAACCAATCTGTTCAATACATTAATTTTTTTCTTTTTTTTTTTGTACTGAGAACCAAACTCAGGACCTCAGGCTTGCCAGGCAAGCGCTACACCACTGAGCTAAATCCCCAGCCTCTTAATACATAAATATTATTTGCTTCATTTTCTTTTTTCCTTCCCTCCCTTTTTTCTGTATTGGAAACTGAACCCAGGACCTTCATACTGAGCTCCACCTACACTTCTTTATTTTGTATTTTGAAATGGGATCTTCTCACTAAGTTGGGGAGTTGTCCGGTCTGGGCTCACACTTGACAGTCATCCTGCCTCGGCCCCTCAGGTTATTGGATTATAGACATGTGCTGCCACACTGTATTCCTTCATTTTCTTAGGGTTTTGCTTTTGGAATTTTCTTTCTCTCCTGCATCATAACTTTCTATCCACCTAGATTGTTCTTATTAAAAGTAAGCCATAAATCCTCCATCTCCTCCCCATATTTTCTCTAATTATTACCCATTTCTCTTGTTCCCTGTTCCAACTGAATTCCAATATTGTTTGTTGTCTGCACTTTTTCATTTCATATTCTCTCTCCAGCCTCCATGAGTTATGCTTTTGTCTCTAAGGTTACATTGAGACAGCTCATCCCAAAGCCACCAATGTTGGACACCTTGCTTCAGCAGCCTTTCAGCATCGTTTGCCTAGTGAGGGCTCTCCTAGAAAACCTTATGCTGCTGGCTTTTCTGATGCCTGGTTTTCCTCCTACTCATGGAGGCTTCCTTCTCAGTCTGATAATTGGCACACCATGGCCTCAACCTTTGGGGTTTTCTTCCTCTGTCTCTCTAAATGATGCAGTCCAGCCCCCTAATTAATTGCCATTTTTGTGCCTGTGAAGCCCAAATTTATACCTTTAGTCTGGGCCACCCCCTTCCATTCAAATATATGGCAAACTTTCCCACAGCCCTAACTTTGCTCTGTTCCAAGCCTTTCCCACTTTGCTCAGTGCTGCCACCATCACCACCCTTGATTCCTCTGTCTTTTAAATTGTTTTTCATGTTATGGAGATTCCTCAAAAAATTAAAATACATCGTGAGAATTCATAATAGCAAGAGATTTTAAATGTAAAGCTAAAGTTTAGATGATGTTTTATGTTGTCACATGGTTTATTTTCCTCATTTCTCTCTTCGTGTTCTCTTCACGGCAGCCGGTTCTCCTTGATAGCAGCAGCATTCTTGCAGACCGTATTCTTCTCATGGACACGTTCTTCCAGATTCTGATTTATCATGGGGAGGTAAGATTCTGTAGCATTTAAAACAATGCACGGAAAGGCTTTTTTTTTTTTTTTTTAAATTTTATTTAAGGAGAAAAAACAGAAAAAGGGTACAAATTATACAGAATTTCAGAAAAAATAAACAGTAGGAAATCACTAGTTAATAGATTACATGTTGTAATCTTAGAAATAGTTGTTCAAGTTACAAAATTAAAGCATATAGAGTGGACATTCAAACAGTGAGACTGCAAACAGTTCTGTTCAGTGATGTAATAAAATTCGGTAATATGGTTACCTATCTTATACACTTAAATATACATGCAGTTATGTCCTTGGAAATGCTTTTTTAAAATTCTTCTTTTTGGTACTGGGAATTGTACTGAGGACCTTGCAATCTCCAGGCAGGTGCTGTGCCACTGAGCCATATCCCCTGCCTCAGAAAGGCTTTTTTACTCAGGGAAGTTGTCCCCTTGTATATCACATGGCTAGTGTCTGGTCTCTGATGAACCTTGGTTTCCATTTTTATAATGTACAGGTTGAACCTCTTCAATCCAAGGTACTCTAAACTCCAACAAAAGTTTTTAAGTACCAATATGACATCACAAGTAGAAAATTCCACACCATAAAACTTGTTTCATGCTCAAAATTACTAAAAAATATTTTATCAAATTGTCTTCAGGCCATGTATATAAATTACATGAAACATAACTTTTGCATTTACACTTGGGTCCTATCTATCTATCTACATACACACATTTTCCAAAATCCAAAGGTATCTAAAATCATTAATACTTTTGGTCTCAAACATTTTGGATAAGAAATACTTGTATAAAATTTGATTCTTTCTAGTATAGATTTTTAGGCTTTCACTGCAGTTTTGTTCGTTTGTCCAGGCATAGTTGGACAAATGGGTTTTATACGAGGCACATTGTTATGAGAGCAAATGCTTTGACATGAATATGGAATAGACATATTGTGTTCTTGGCTTTTATGTGAAGACACTTGAGGGGAGAAGTCAGCCTGTGTCATTGGCAGGTTATTTTTATTATTTCATATAATCGTTACAGGAAAATATTTTGAAAAGATGTTCTATATGTTGATCTTGAAAACTCATTTATGGCATAAGTGAATTAAAATTTATAACTTAATTGAAATTATAAATGATTGAAAAGAACAGAATATTTGAGTAGCCTTTAAGCTTTAACCTAGGTGCTTAGTGGAATTCAACTCATTCCTGCATTTATTCAGTGAATAGTTCAGTGCATCTGCTGTAATAAAGCAAGCCATGTATTCTGGATGCTGTGGAAGACACAGATTTGTTTTGTGCAGACCTGTACTCAAGCTTATAGTCTAGTATTTTAGCAGCTTGTACAGATTTATGTTTCCAGTTGCTTTAATTGTGATTTTTAGATTTGCACTTTAGTAATGGTGCTACTCAAAATATCCTTTTAAGTAATTGTATCTAGGACTTAAAAAATACTATTTTTTAGTATCTTTAAATGATACCAGTTTTTTTGTTTTTTTGGTAGTGAGGATCAAACTCATGACCTCACACTTGCCAGCCTCTTACTATTTTTTTTTTTTTTTTTTTTTTTTGGTCTTTTTCCTTTTTTATTGGTACTGGGGATCGAACTCACGACTGCCTGCTTGCAAGGCAGGCGCTTATGCCACTGAGCTAAATCCCCAGCCCCAAGCCTCTTACTATTTAACAACAATACATGTAATGTTGATAGGCTTGGTTGTTTTGCTTTTTTTTGTTTGCTTTTATGGCAACTTTTACTTCTTTCAAATATGTTGCTCTTACTGGGAGAAACTAGGAGAACAGATGACTCAATTAAATACAGAAATAGAAAACTATACAGAATGTAGACTGATTGATTCAGGTAACTTAGAAACCAAACCATTGAATTTTGAATGACTCAATTATATGATGTTTAGAACCATTCAGTTTAATGTAAAAATTGAACCAGTTGCTTTCACAGATATATTATGTTTGTAGTATTATTACTATTATTAAAATTTTTGTTTTTACAGAATATAACTACAAGAGAGAATTCATCATAGCAGGCCATTAGTTTTGAAGTGTGTGAGAAATCTATGATAGAAATTCCTTTCACATATCATAAACAGCTTATAGTTAACATTAATCTGATGTGCATAGGATTTAAATTTTTTTCTGGCTTATATTTTTAAAAAATATTTTTAATTGTAAAATAAATTTATTTATTCATTTATTTTTTGAGAAGGGGTTTCATTGTCTTACCCAGGGTGCTCTTTAACTTCTGGGCTCAAGGGATCCTCCTGCCTTAGCTTCCTTGGTGTGGATCACTATGCCTAGCTTTGTTTTACTTTTAAAGGTGAAGGAATATCCTAATGTGTGTGTTTACTTAAAAAATATTTTCTCTTTTGAAATTAATGTTTATAAAAGTTGAGATAAATTTTTAGATTACTTTTCTAAAGATTACTTCCTTTGGGAAAAAATGCTGTAGCATTTTTAGATGAGCAAGCAATTTAAAATAACTCCTTTAACTGTCTTGAAATTAGACCATCGCCCAGTGGCGGAAGTCGGGGTACCAGGACATGCCGGAGTACGAGAACTTCCGCCACCTCCTTCAGGCACCAGTGGACGACGCGCAGGAAATCCTGCACTCGCGTTTCCCGATGCCGCGCTACATCGACACAGAGCATGGCGGCAGCCAGGTCTGTGCCTGCAGGCTGATGTGCTGTCAGGATTGCTCTGGGGTGTCGCCTTTAATCCGACTAGATTGCTTCTTAAAGCGAAAGGAAAGGGAAGTGGAAGGAGAAAGCGCACGTGGTGTCCAGGGCTTGCTGGCACAGTGGTTTTGGGGTAAAGGTCTGCTGCGCTGCCTCACCACCTTTCCTGCCTTTCGTGTCTGCTGGTCGAGCTCAGCCCTAGCCAAACCAAACCAGGAGGCGTCCAGGTGGATGCAGCCTTGCTGAGCAAGGAGAGGGGACAGCTGGGGGAATGTTCTGTGCGCTCCCCTTACAGCTCTTACTGGTAGCTTTGTCGCGTTTGTGGTAACTCACTTTTTTGTTTTCCCTCATTCTGTGCCAATTTTCTAGTAAATAAATTGAAATGTTAAAGGAAAGCATTGTGGAATTATAAAAGGCTTGGTGGGGTTTTTGAACTAAGGTGTGAATAGGGTGCATACAGATGCATCTGTCCCTTCTGAGGCCTTCAGAAGGTTGGGTTAGGTGCTTTACATGCATTCTTACAACAGGTCCTGCTTGGCTCTTATAATTCCATTCAGAGTGACCATAAGTCAATTATAAGTTGTTACAAGTTTGTTTCACTTGCTCCATAAAGGCAGGTCCCCTAGTTTGTTTACTGCTGTATTCCAAGTGTCTAATGCAGTAGCAATTACTCGAAAATGACAATTTTTATTAGGGTTTTACTGTACTTATAGTTTGTATTGAGAATTTGCAAAGTTCTTTACTCATTTTATTTCCTCTGACATCATAAGAATTCTGTCATCTCCATTTTGTAGGTGACAAAACAGACTTAGATGGCTGTGGTCGCAAAAGCTCACAAATGAAGAAGCTGGGATTTGAAACCTGGTTTTTTGGCCTCAAGGGTCAAAGCTTTTGAATATTAAGCCCAAACCCTGGGGCCCAAGCTTTTGAATATTAAGTAAACTCTATGTAGAAAGTAGAAAAATATTTTGTAGGATACTAATCCTCAAACGATAAGACTACTTATGTTATTATGATATGAATTAAAATTGTATGATAAATCTTTATTGATTCTCACCATGTACATTGCTGTTTTCCTCGTTTATTATTTTGATGATAAGTCATGGTGGCTAGGTAGCTGAAATATTGGCTAAGTGATCTCATGGGATCACCTGTGGCTTGAAAGTTTGAGATTGTTTAAAAGAATATGTAAATTTTTGAGAATTTTAAAAATTGTCATTTTATGGAACTTTGAATTTATGATGTTTCAGACTCCTTTGGAATAATTGTAGCTTTAGACTGACTTTGTCATGATTACTGTGCACACTTTTTTGTGGGGTGGTAGTGAGGACCTCATATTTAGCTGTGTCTCCCTCTTTTTTACCACCCCTCTTTGTTAAAAATTTTGAGATGGGGCCTCACTAAATCCCTGAGCTTCCCAGGCTGGTTTGAACTTGTGATCCTCCTGCCTCAGGTGTACACAGGGCTGGGGTTACTGCCATGTACTACCATGCCTGTTGTGTGCACAGTTTTTGTGTGCTAAGTTTTATATTAAAAATACATTATTTGTTATTATGCAGGTTATGGATGTGTGATTTGGAGGGAAGAGGGTGCTTTTCTTTCAGTTTTTTATTTTTTATTTTTTTGAGAAAGGATCTCACTATGTAGTTTAGGCTGACCTTCCAACTTACTATGTAGCCAAGACTGGCTTTAAATTTGCGGCAATCCTTCTGTCTCAGCTTCCTAAGTACTAGGATTATAGGCATGTACCACCATACCCTGTAGGTGATGTATTATTTATCACATAGTGGGATGCACATTTCAGAATTTAGTTAATCTTAAATGTTATATTTTAGTAAACATTTTAATGTCTTGGTTAATTTTACCAAGATATTAAATTGATTTCAGGAAGTATGTATTTGTTTAGCTTATTTACTGAATCTGTTTCTAATGGCTGATGCTGTTTCTTTTTTGCTTTTAAGGCCCGTTTCCTGCTTTCCAAAGTCAACCCTTCACAAACTCATAATAATATGTATGCCTGGGGGCAGGTAAGTGTGAATAGTTTTGGAAATGATTTCTTTGGTTTTTTTTGGTCTTTTTTGTTTTTATCGGTACCAGGGATTGAACTCACGACTGCCTGCTTGTAAGGCAGGTGCTTATGCCACTGAGCTAAATCCCCAGCCCCTGGAAATGATTTCTTTGTATTTTCATAGTTTATTTTTGTGAAAGATGTGTTTTTTCCTATGTTTACAGTGATGATTTCTGTTGGAAAAGTAATGAAAAAATAAGAGCAGAAAATAGTATTTGGTGACACCACAGAAAATAAAAAAGTGAGCCTATCAAATAGACAGAACTCTTTCCTATCTCAAGTTTAACATTGTACCTTTAAGACAAAAAGTAATGGAAAGTGATGATTCGAGCTTAATGTGAGACTATGAACCAGAAAAGACTAATGAGCCAGGGGATGCCAGGGGCTGTAGTGGAGCTGGAGGCAGGAAGCCTGCAGGCATGACTGACAACGTTAATAGGGTAGAGAAGCAGCTCTTGGTGCAACACCTCAGCATTCCTCAGATGTGCTGGACTCTGTTGGTGCTTTAGGACATGGAATTATCACCCTTGCCCTTGAAGAGCTTGTAGCCTAGTGTTAAGAGATAAATGCATGTAAGTAAAGTGCAAAGTGTGAGAAGTGTGCCTGAAGTATAGAGTAACATAGGGTTGGAAAAAGCAAAGCAGAAGAGGTCACACTGAGGAGTGTGGTTATAAAAGAGCTCCGGGAAAAGGTATGTTTAGTTTGGGGAATGGTTGTTACTTCAATAAGAAGAACTTGCAGGAGAGGAAATTCTGGGTGGAAGACAGCGTGGGACAAGATAATAGGGTCCACGCACAGGTGAACAGTAGGATGTGAAGCTGGAAGCTGTCTAGATTGCAGGGGATCGTGAACAGGTTGAGGACTGGAAGGTTACCTTTGTTTGGTAATGGAGAACCGTTTAAGGTTTTTGGACAGAAGGTCAAATTACAGTCTTAGATTGTACTGTTGCTTAGTCTTTTTTTTCTTCTTTTTTTGAGATAGGGTCTGACAGGAGTTCAGGGTGCCCTTGAGCTGGCTTCAGACTTGCAGGGATCTTCCTGCTTCCCTGAGAGCTGGGATTACAGGGGATGCTGTCGTTTATTAACAGTTTTTAAAGCATGCTTGCATAATACACTTTAACCATGCTTTATAGTTCAGGCATTGGACAAACTTGAAAAATTTTGGTGCTAATTTAGGGTGAGTATGATAAAGTGGACACTTTAGAAAATGGATAGAATAATTTTAAATGAATGCTAAATGTGGGTTCTAGGATAGGTAGTAGAGAAATGATGTAACTGAGATTAAGGTTCTTTCCCTTTGAATATAGAGTTACCTCAAGATTTTGTCCTGATTCTTTACATATGCTGTTTTTCTGTGTGATTACATTCACTCATGTGGCTTCATTGTTCATCTGAAGGCAAACCCGCAAACCTGCCGATCTCTGACAAAGGAGCTTCGGTTTTAGTTCTGGTTCACACAGTTTAAGGGGAATTCATAGTTAAAGAGAGGAAGAAAGAGACAGAGAGAGAGAAAGAGAGAAAGAGAGAGAGAGAAAGGAAAGGAGACACAGAGAGAGGAGAGACAAAGAGACTAGAAAAACAACATCAAAAAATAAAGGAAAGAGCACTTCACCCAAATGGAGCCAAGAGGTTAATGGAGGCTTTAAAAAACAGTATCTGTGAGGAGTCCTGTATTGAAGGCCTTTGTGCAAGGCCAGCTGAGTGAGTGAGGCTGACTGGGTAGGACATTAGCACGCTCCACTTAGAAGGAGGCGGGCTGACCATGACCTGGGTTGGTGGGAAAGGTATAGAATTCCTTCTTTAAAGAAGGCAGCTGTCCCTCCCCTGATGATTACCACTCATGTAATTCAGTTAAAAATGAGAGCCCATATCGTGCAGCCTAAGTTAAATGGATCTTTTTGTTTGGTTTCCTACTAAGCAGCAGACCAGTTCCTGTGACTGCTTGCTGCGTATCACTGGAACTCTCTGCAGGCATTTCACAGCAGAAAATCTGTCTCACCGCTTTTCACCCTGCCTTGTTCTTCCTAAATTCTTGGTTTTTTTCTCCCCATTACTGTTTTGCCTCGGGTTAACCCCTGGTCCTCTGTGCAGGGAAGGCAAGTGCTCCGCCCCATACACCCTCGTCTCTCTCCTGCTGGGATGGCAAAGGCCTGAAACTTTAATCTTGTACAGTCTCTCCCTTCTGCCCCTGCTTCCTCAAGATGTGTTCCCTGTGTCTTCTCCCCCAGCCCTGCCAGGTCTCTAGCCGGGTCAGGCCCTTTACTCTCACGGGGACTGTGGGGGACTGCTAGCTGGTCTGTGGCGGGCGTCAGCTCTTCTCTGTTCTGTCAGTGGCCAGCTGAGTCTTCCTCATGCTGTGGTCTTGCAGTTTTGAAATCTCAGTAACCCTGACTGAGTTCTGTGAGAACTGTCTGTCGTTATGAAGGTCCTTTTTGGTGTGACCCAAATGTATTTTTCTGCTGTTAGTCATCACTTAGATCTTTTAACCCAACTGGACTTATTGTACTTTGAACACACTGAACATCTTATCTCTGTAGTTGGAATTCTGCATTAAAAATGTGATTTAATTCATGTTTCAAATACTTCATGGAAATGATGACTTCTTGTTTGTGAGTTTAAATGCTAACATGGAAGGGTAGTTGTGAAAGAAAGAACTTGTCAAGTTGGTAGATGTGGAGAAGTGTCATTTTGGGCCTGATAGTTTAGACTGCAGACTGCAGGTTAGTCCTGTCTGTCTTTACTACTTTGTTTGCAGTTTAATAATATATGCTTGATATGGATAGTAACACTCAGTAAATATTACCTGTTTTCTCTGGAAAAGAGTCTCTCCCTAAAGATGTCTGACATAGGGAACAAAATTTATTTTAAAAATTTGGTGTCTAATTGTTGCCTGGAAATAGGACATTAGAGGCAGAAACAAGAGCCCTAAGACCTTGCTCAATTCATGCTTTTTATGAAAGAAGTTATGTTAATATTTTATAGTGATAACTAAGTTAAATGTGTACTGTTTTACTCACAGTGCTAAGATTTTTAATTATGAAAAACTTTCATAATCATTCACCCGTTTTTCAGAAAAGAAAATTAAGCTTTGTATAGGTTAAGTAATTTATGCAAGATCACATAGTTCAGTTGTGGCAGGACCCTGATTTTAACCCAGGCTCTACATTCTGAGCTTTTAATCATTCATTTGATTTTTAAAGCTTTTAAAAATTGATAGACTTTAACTTAGTAGCCAAGCATTTATTTACTAAAAATTAATAAAGTCCAATTTCTTAGTTTTTTTTTGGTCAGAAATCCACAACCTAGTGTGTTACCTGTGAATGGCCTGCAGAGGGCACCAATGTAATGCTACTTCTGTTATTAAGTGCTGTGCCTATCCTGGATATACTTTAAGGAAAAAAACATCTCTTTGAAAAGTCAAGGTCAGCTAACTGCAGTAAAATTGATTTAGACATTAATATTTGTAATTTCAAGTATGATCTGTAGAATGTAAATTAGATAAGCCATATCTGTTTTGTCTTGACCAGGTGAATTGAGGTGGAAAACATAAAAAATGAAAAAAAGGAAAAGTATAGTCATAGCAAGAAAAACAGTAAGAGTTGCCAGTTTATTACTACTGTAGGTCAGTTTTGAGGCCCATCCTTGTCTGTGATGATGGTGAATGTAAAATAAATACTTCAGGGTTAGAAAGTAATAATGAAGAGCTACTGTGTACCTCTGTGCTGGTACCCTTCCACCCTCTGTGGTATCACCCTCTGTGGTACCTTTCCACCTGCTTTGTTCTGCTTGACTTAAAATCCTGACAGCTCTGGGATGGGGCCTGTGGTCCTTGTGTTACCTTCTGAACCTGAGACGCAGGTTCAGCGGCTTCCTCAGGAGGGGCAGAGCCAGAACTGGAGCTCAGGCGTCTGAGGCCAGCTCCATGTCCTTACCCCTGCGCCTCAGCCTTCCTTCAGGGCCAGGTTTCCCCCGGCTGTTAGGAATTGGGTTTCATAGGATTCTCTTGCTTGGAAGAGGTTTCGGCACAGCTGTGGCTGCCAGACCTGATCCACAGGAGCTGTACATTTCTGTCCTCACACTTGCCTCTGACTTGCTGATAGCTTCTGAAAAGTACTTTTCATTTTAGAACTATTTCTGTTTATTAATAAATGGAGTATGACAAGAAAAATTCTGAGATGCAGATATAAAATCTAGAAATACTTTCTCTTCCTATAGGAAAATTTCAACTGGATGTACAGTGAATGTCTCAGCACTTAGGAGGCTGAGGCAGGAGGTTCACTGCAAGTTGGAGGGCAGCCTGGGCTGCAGAGTGAGTTCAGGGCCGGTCTGAACTACATAGTGAGGCTCTGTCCAAAAAAAATTCATTTGGTCAGTATAGTGTATTAAAATAGATATTAGGAATTTCCCCTAACTCTTGCGAATTATTTGAAATCCACAGAGATAAAATGGCTTGAAAACTTGGTAAGCATAATGCATGTTACTGTGAATTTATGACCTTTCAGAGGCGTTTCTGTTAAAATACCAGAGAGAAGGATATGGAGTCAGGCTGTCTTGAGCCCATGCCTCCAATCACATCACAGGTCCTGGGAATGAGCGCCCTCTGAGACCCCACATCCCCCTGCAGACACTTGGGCGACAAGAGCAGCCTGTGAGGAGCAGAGACACAGCCTTTACTCAGGGCAGGCCAAGGGTTTAGCAGGAACCTCAGTGTTATTTCTGTTTAAAAGTAGTTTCCTTGTCATTTTAAACACACATTGCTTATGCACTCCAAGGTATCGCGCTGTGTGTTAATCATAGCAAATGCCTCTTTTTCCCTCTAGGAGTCTGGAGCACCTATTCTCACAGATGATGTTAGTTTGCAAGTATTTATGGATCACCTGAAGAAACTTGCCGTATCAAGTGCTGCTTGATGTGCTCAGCGTGTTCAGGACACTTATGGAGATGAAATAACGTGTCAGTTTCATTTTTTCTTTTTTCCATTTCTTTTTTTTTTTTCTTTTTTCTTTGAGACAGGGTTTCATGATATAGCTCAGGCTGGCCTTAAAGTTGCTGGCTAGCCTTGAGCTTATGCTTTTCCTGCCTCAGCCTCCTGAGTGCTGGGATTACAGGTGTGCACCACCACGCCCAGCTCCTTCTTCCATTTATCTGTGAAACTGTCAGAGATACTGCTCTAGACTATTTTTTTGGTATCAGTATGGTTTGAGATGACATTTGCAAAAAAATGTTCACATTTGTAGATTAAGCTGAAACATAATGAGAGCAATGAGAACAAATTTGTTTTACTTGCCACAGTATTAAAACTGGTTGTAGAAATTTTAAAGTCTATATAACTTATGTTTAACAATAAAAACTGTCTGCCTTGAACTGCAGATATAACTTATTTGTATATTGCAGACAAATCAAAAGTGGCACTGAATGTCCTCCTGATCTTTTAAAAACCTATTTAATTTTAGCCAGACAGGAACAAATCAATAGTAATGATAAATGTGAACATTTTTGCTTATTTGTTAAATATTTTTCTATGATTTTTCAGCACTTATGTATGCCATTTTCTGTACTTGCTCTGTTAAGGTGGATTTATTTTTATGATTTGTTCAGGAATTATCTGACTTTATAATGGTAATTTTCATGAAGATAATATCATGTGTTTTGGTTATTTGGAAAAATTGCTTAGAGATGAAAAAATATTGGAGGGGAGAAGTGATAATCTCACAACTGACAGTAAAGTTCTACTTTGTACCCAATATATGTGACTAACTACAACACTTAAAAAATGTGATAGACAATATTTGATAGACAGTAAAGTATTTTGTCAGAGTACCTAGAGAAAGCCTTTGCAGTAAAATGAATATAGTAACTGCTAAACCAGAATTGGTTTTCACTGCATGAATTTGCTGTCTCCCCTTTTTCGGAGGTAAATTCTACATTATATCTATCAGTATTTTAACACTATATTGGGAGCTTACACAGTTACTTTTTTCCCCTCTACTTCCTTTTTATGAGATTGATTAAGTTGTGGTTCTTAGTGAAACAGTATTATGTAATGTTTGTTTAATTGTGTCATGTGGTGATACTCAGTTTTATTTTGGTTTGTTCATTAGTATCATTAACTTTTAAGGTTTACTTGTAGCAAATATGTTTACATTGTTAAAGCCAGATATGATCTGACAGTGAAATTCACATATCACGTGCTGAAGGGAGTGGTGGTGCTCTGATACATGCTTAGAGAGACGGCTTTGATGATTGTATTCCAATGAACACAATCACAGGATGGTAAAGGAGAAACTTGTTTATATTATATTATATTATATTATATTCAGTTAGCTTAACTTTGTTCCATTTTATTTGAATCAAACTGTGCTAGGCCAAAATACCAATAAAATTTGCTTTTCTCTGTTTTTCTGGTTATTTTTGAACTCTAGTAAAGGTTGAGAAGCCTGAAGTAAAATTTAGAGCATTTAAACTTTATTTTGATCGGCACATAATTTTACATATTTATGGGATACAATGTGATAATTTGATATATGAACATAATAGGTCATGCTAAAATGGGGTAATTAGGAAGGACAGACAGAGGGAGATTTTTTTCATTCCTTTAAACATGCATTATTTCTTTGTGTTGGCGGTCTTAGACTCCTGTCTGCTGGTTCTTCATAAGATGTGTAATTGTTGTAACTATAGCCATCCTACAGTACTATGGGACACTAGAACTATTCCTACCATGCAACTGTGATTTGGTGCCTGTTACCTGACCTCCCTCTTTCCCCCCCTTCCTAGATTCTTGTGTGTGTGTGTGTGTGTGTGTTTTTTGAGACAGGATCTCCCTGGCTGGCCTTGAATTCACTATGTAGCTCAGGCTGACCTAACTCATGGTGATCCTTCTGCCTCTGCCTCCTGAGAGCTGGGATTACAGTCATGCTCCACCACATGTGGCACTCCTCCCTCCTTTCTGGTGACTGTAGTTCTACCCTAGTTTCCTGAAATCAGCTTTTTAAGATCCCACATAAGATGGGAATATGTGGTGTTTTCATCCTTGCTTAGTTTATTTTACTTAGAGTAACGTCCTTCACCTCCATCCATGTTGCTGCAGATGACAAGATCTCATTTTTTAATGGATGGTATTCCATTATATATGCACACATGCACAATAACAAAGCATTTAAAATCTGCTATTAGTGGATTAAAAAGTTACTCATTTTGAAAATAACATAATTTATGCATAATACAGTTAACTCATTTAAAGCATATAATTCAGTAGCACTTAATATTTTCATAGAGATCTGTAACCATTATGATTTTGGACCATTTTCTGTTTTTCTTTTTTTAGACAGGGTCTTGCTGTATAGTGCTGGGTGGCCTAGATCTGGCGTATGTAGCACCCTTTGCTGGCCTCAAACTCATGGTGATCCTCCTGCATCAGCCTCCTGCACCACCATACCGGGCTGGACATTCTTTCCGCCCCCAAAAGGCCTGTTTTATTTCTGTAAACAGGTCTGTTTTGGAGTATGTGCGTTGAATTGAGGGAGGACCCAGTGGTGACACACCTGTTTCATTTGCCTGGCTCCTTACGATGCCTTTCTTCTGCTGAGTAGTGAGATAGTGTTTATCTCGACCTGACCTTTGCTTCTAAATCAGGCACAGCTGAAGGTGCTGAAGTGCTGCTGTACTGAAAGGGTTAAGGATGCACAGATATTGAGCGTACCTTTTTAGCTCACCATCTGAAAGAAATTACTCTGAATCATTTTTGTGTGTACTTTAACTATTAGTAAATCATTTGTCATGTAATAGACTGCTAAAAAAAGTTTAACCCTTTGTCTTAGTCTGTTTGGGCTGCAATAACAAAGTACTTTAAACTGGATAATTTATATATACAACAGATTTACTTGCTGGAGTTTTGGGGCCGAGAAGTCAAGATCGAGGTGGGTGCTGGTGAGGGCGCCCTGCTTCCCAGATGACATCTTCTACCTTTATCCTCATGTGGCAGAGGGAAGGACGGGTGAGGCGTGAGCCAGTCAGTTTGTAAGGCCACAGGCTCATTGCTGATTGCAGGTCCCTTGTCTCCTACTGAGCCTTCTAAAACTTCCATTTTATTTAATTTTATTTTAGTTTGGTTTAGTTTAGTTTTGTTTTGTTTGAGACAGTCTCACATATGTTGTCCAGGCTGTGCTTGAATTTGTAGTCTTTCTTGCCTCATCCTCCCAGGTATTGGGATTATAGGCATGAGCAAAATCTCACTTCTTAATGCCACACTGGAGATTAAAGTTCAGCATACAAATCTGTTTATATTGATACTTTGATGCAGTATGATAAAAAAATACTCTTTATTGGTTGATTCCAAAGCTGAGCTGACATTTTCCTGTCTAGTTCTCTGCTTCATAAATTTCCTGCTCATATTTCCTAATTCACAGACTGCATCTAATGGATGTTTTAGTGTCCAGTTTAGGCCAGAAACCAGAGAATCACTGTCAGTCTTACTCTCCTCACCATCTTTAGTAACTAAGATCTACCTCTCTAATGGAGTCCTAATCTGCTTACTGCTCTCTGTCTTCCTGCTGTTCTGCCTTCATTATGTGTCCCTGGCTAGGTGAAATGTCCTTCTAACCAGCCTGCTGTCCTCGTCTCCAGTTCACTTTCCACACTGCGGCAGAATGCTGTTTCTGACATTAGGATCTAACCATGTCATTTCCCTTGGCTCTCAGGAAAGTCTTAAACATTTTTGTTTGTTCATGTTGTATACTATACTATATCTCCAACAGACTCCAGCTCTCCCTGAAGCAAGTGTTACTCTGAGTTTAAGTATTAACCTTAGGTGTGATATTTGAGATGTATATGTAAGTATGTGTATGTATACATGTATACATACCTAACAGTTGTACATATTGATGGGGTATGGTATAAAAATTCAATCCATGACTTCAAGGTATAACTTTCAGGATATAAGTTTCAGCATTTCTCCTTATCACTTTTATGTATTTGGAGGCAGACGAGAGGGAGGCCGGGGAACCTATATTGACCAAAGCCATCTGGTACTCTTTGATAATGTCATTAAAACAAATCTGGGCGGCCTGTAGTGCAGGTGTTTGTGGGTTAGAAAGATGATTCCAACCAGTATATCATAGACCCACTTTGTTCACAACTGTGCCTTTCCCAACTGCAATAACGAAGGTGTTTCGGCAAATAAAATTATGTCATAGAGCCTGGTGTTAGGAATCTTTCTTGTGGGCCATGGGCCTGCTCTGGTGGAGAAGCTACTGGTTCTGGTTGGTGTCAAGGTCCTGCTAACATGCCTGCAGAGGAGGAAGCATCTGTAAGCAACCCTATGTGGATGCATAACCTCTTCTGGGGACTGGATTGTTTGGTTTGGCAAAATAGAGAAATCCATAAAATCAACAATTTTCATAGGGATTAGAACTTTTTTCTAAGAAGAACAAATCTGGAGATTACTTATGAATAAAGATTACTGAGGAGTAAAGATGTCACTTTGAAGTGATAAGTCTACTTCAGTAAAGAAGGATCACATTTCACTTTAGTGGCTTACGGCTTTTCAAGGCAATTTAAAAATAACTTAATCTGCAGAGGTTTAAGCATTAATCTTCATGAAGTCCTTGTGAGATGCTGATATGTTAAGTATTCTATATGTTTGAAAACATTTGTGCAGAAGTGAAATTTGACCGAGTAGTGCTTCTCACCTTGAGCTAGAATCAAGGGGTATTGATAAAGTCACTGTGACCTCAAGGTCCGAGATTTTGCACTGCCACGAGCTCCCAGCTGATAGCAGTGCTGCTACTGCTGGACTGCAATTTAAATGGCGATGGCAGCTAAGAACAAGTCCAGTGGCCAGTGCATCTTGGAATCGAGATACTCAGGTTTGGAAACCATATGCATGGAACTGATGGCTGAAGCTGCTGGACTAGACAAGATTGTTCTTTAATTATTCACTAAGTACTAACAGAATAGATGGGGAGCACAGTCGGACAGCTTTTTTCCGTGGAGCATAGATTATGCAATTATGTAGGGGCTCATAATGTTTAATTCTGAAATTCTATTTTTAATGAGAATATTAAGCCTACTGATTTATCAAATATATCTTTTTCAGCAGGGAAGTATTTCTATTAAAAAGACTACCAAGTTGCTGAAATATTAATGGTAGTACAATATCATGTAACTGAAAAGAATGTTTTCATTGAATTCTGAAGTTTGATAATACCCAGAATTAGGTTCTGTATTAAAATAGGGATATTGAGAAAATAAGATCTGAAGTAATAAATTATGAAATGGCTCAATTAATAATTGCTTTTAATTACTTAAAGATCTCCCATTTTTTTTTTTTAGCATCATGAAAGAGTGGCAGGACATATTATGAAATGCTTCTAATTAGATGTTTATATTAATTGGCTAGATAATCATTATGGGGTGGACAGATATAGCTCTACCTGGAGGTAGAAAGATAAATTTGCTGATCTCAGAGCAGACTTTGGACCAAAGACTTCTGCTTTATCTTTGTTGTGTGGTAGCTCTTCTCATTTTCTTATGTATTTACAGGGGGACTTTTCAATTATATTTGCTTACTGAGTGTTATATGCACTCCTGATACAGCTCATGGTAAGTGACACTGATGGTCAGTTTTCATCTGGAGTCTAAAGTCCAGCATGATTCCAGTGTTTTTGACTGCAGGTTCTCTGGCAGGAAGACGCAGCGCATCTCTGTGCTTACTCAGCCTGTACGGTGACGGCTACATCTGCTTCTCCATCTGCAGCCTTCAGATCTGTTGGTTTCATTAGCTGTCTGTAACACTTAAGAGCCTGTTTGTCTCTGCTGAAGAAAACAAACGAGTGAAAAAAGCTCTCTTTTCTACAGGACCTCCCCTAAAACAATAGTTTTGAGGAGTGATGGGAAGAGTCCTTATGATTAAATAAATTATTCAAGGTGTGACCACTAAGCATGTGCTGAACCTACTTTTGCTTAAGAGAAATATAGTCACAAAATGTGTTTAATAATGGTGGATCTATGCTGTATGTTATATATTATTTTGTTCTCATTATTTTGTTCTCATATCTCATTGATAAATAAAATCTAAAATTATTTGTGCAGAATAAAAATCCCCAAATGTTAACATAGGCTACTAGACATGTCAGTCATTGTGCCTGGGTACTACCATTTGCAGTTCTGCTTAGCTCAGCAACCAGCCTCAGTTTATCTCTTAGCACAGTGGTGGGGTCAGGTTTCCTAAGGACCTAAGCTAATCCAATCACCAGGAGCTGCTGACCTGTGAAACGATTTAGCACAAAAAATTTCTCTGCTAAGGGTAAAAATAATTCACTAGGAATTATACCTTTCTCCTTGAAAAATTGAATAGGAAAATTCAGAGGAGGCCAGCCATTCTGTAATAAGAGAACAA